GGTGGCTAATCCTCCGGGGTTAAAAATCCGAACGAAATCTTATCTTATCTTACTCAGTCGATAGAATAAAAGGAGTTCCAGCTAGACAGCTATGAGTTTGGTCCACAAATAACCCGCACATAAAAGAGAGAAGCTTACGACGACATTTCGGTCCGACTTGGACCATTGACAAAGTCACACTGTGTGACTTTGTCAATGGTCCAAGTCGGGTCGAAACGTCGTCGTAAGCTTCTCTTTTATGTGCGGGTTATTTGTGTATTGTTCCAGTCACGGTATTGTGCCTTTTTTTTGTTATTTATGAGTTTGGTCGACTGGAATAATGAAATTGGCCCAAAATAGAGCTCAAACTGGGCGATATCACCAAAAAGTAAGTACTGCTGAGACTGCTAATTCGCGAGAGCATAATTCCATAAGTTTCCATCAAATTTCATGCTTTTGTTTCCATTTGGAAAACGATTCTCTATCATTTCATAATAAACTTTTTTTTTTTAAATTCTTCGACCATGGGAGCAAGTTTGCAAGCAGAGATCTCAGCCCTCAAAGGGTTAATGCAAAAATACATTTCATATACAGTATTTATAGTATACAGTGAACCTTATCATTACTTAACTAAAAGGGAGGGAGGGAATGTACAGTTTTGCCGACTGTTCAAAACTTCTGAATTACGAAAGTAATTTTCAGAACACAACAGGACATTAAGAATATGGATATTCTAACCTGTAGTGCTACAGTGCAGTACTGTACTGTATTGTAATTTTATAGCACTGTATATAATTTACAGTAATTTTACTGATCTTTTCATGGTTGAGAGATGAGGTGTAAACTACCTCTGAATCAGAGGAGCTGTCAAGCTATACTAGTGAAAACAATGTAGATGGCTGAGATGTGCCAAAGAGATGCCAGACTCAACCTTCTTTATTAGTTCATGTTTCTGCTTAACACTGAAAACCACACATTTCCTCTTGGCACCATCACTTGCTTTAGAAGCCAATGTTAATTGCTCTTTACATAATATGTTAATACAGTAAACCATACCACGGGCGGGGATAGAACCCGCGATCAGAGAGTCATTATGATTTCGCGAGTCATGTTAATAAAGTCACACAAAACACTCTAAATTCTAGGGAAAATTGGAGACTGAATAACAAGTACAAGTGTCAGCACAAACAATAAACTGGTGTGGGCAGTCTACAGCTCAAGGAACAATGAAAACAAGACAGGTCCTGGAAGCAGCCACTCTGGCTCGTACTGGACAAATTTTGGAGTAGCCAGACTTGGTCCAATAAAGATAATAACATAAAGATAAAGGTTTATTTCTTTGTAAATGTTACAATGTGTAATTACAATTTTGTTTTGCTAAGTACAAAGATAGCCACTATAAATAAAAAAAAAGGCACAATACCGTGACTGGAATGATACACAGTGTGACTTTGTAAATGGTCCAAGTCGGACCGAAACGTCGCCGTAAGCTTCTCTCTCTTATGTGCGGGATATTTGTGAATAACCACTATCATGCTGGGGCATTTTGGGCAGACTAATCTTAATACACAGTGACTACTTAAGACCAGACAAGATAACAGTACAGCAGGGCCCCGCTTTACGGCGTTTTGCTTTACGGCGTTCCGCTAATACGGACATTTCAAATTATGACCAAAACTCGCTATACGGCTCCCCCCACCTGTCTTTCTAATACGGTCACAGCGGCCCACCGAGTTTGTTTACATTCTCCCTGAGCACATCTTATTATGTCTGGAAACTTTCCAAAATTTCAAGTGTTTTAAAGTTATTGTATATTTTATATGTATTGTACTTGATAATTAAACTTGTGTACACCTGTACCTAAATAAACTTACACACTGTGCTGTCATGTAGGGACACATTAAAATCACTAAGAGTCTCTCTACTCTTGATGCAATAATAATAATAATAATAATAATAATAATAATAATAATAATAATAATAATAGTAAAAATAAAATCTCTTGGGCGCAAATTTAAAGTCGCATATTATGTTAATATAGACATTTCCCTTAATCTATCTATGATAATTTTTTTCAAAATTATATAAGAAACACATTATGTAACACACAAAAATGATACATGCACCCACAGTATAAAATTTATACAAATATATATGAGATATTTTACCAACGGTTTGTAGAAGTGTCGGAAGAATTACGTTTTCTCTAGCCCGTCAACTGTTACTAGGGATAACTGTAGAAAAATATTCCTTTCGTATGCCTTCACTTTATAGCTATAATTCTGTACTAACTTGTACACAGTGTAAGAGTTAAATTTGTTTCGTGATTTAATTATTATTATAATAATAAAAATATTATTTAAAGGGAAAAGTTTCGCCAAAATCTTACAAATGTACATGAATGAATAAAACTGGACACGTATTAATACCGTCTATTTCGCCCGACCGAGTGATCGTCCACAACCTGTTCAGTTTGTTTGTTTAAAGCTGTCTGAGCTCGGTGTATCATTAAATGTTGTATATTACGTTAATATACACATTTCATTAATCCATCCGTGATAAATTTTTTTTAAAATTATATAATAAACACGATACATAACATGAATACATAACAACTTATGTGTAGAGAACCCAGGATAACCCAAAAAATCAGAGTGACTTATTACCATTGCCTTCACTCAGAGCATCATTTCTTCTCAAAAAGATGTTACCTCAGAATGGGAGTGTTCTTCTTTTTTTATTCTACCGTATCAAAGTAGAGACAACCTGTACACAATGTAACTTGTACACAAACCAGACGTGTACACTTTTTACAAAACTTACCTTCGCCTGGTTTGTTTACATAAACTCTGCGCCTGTCCTTTCTCATGCACTCATTCTTTCTCTCTGGTATGTAGCCTGGCTGACTACCATACATACCACACTTGATTTTTTACAATAAAATACTACTCATCTCACCCTAATATTTTAAGGTAAGTTAATGAGTGAACTGTATATACATTTTATCGCTCTGGGATGCTTAAAAATCATAGAATAGTATTTTGGGTGGGGTGGCCTGGTAAGGTAGCCTGGCTGACTACCATACATACCACACTTGATTTCTTACAATAAATCTACTTGTCTCACCCTAGATTAAGACTATAAATATTTTAAGGTAAGTAATGAGTGCACTATGTGTGTATTGTACTTTTTTATTGTTTTTTGATGCCTGGTTCTATTGCTAACATAATATTTGTTAGTGTAAACTGTTTATCTAGTGTTTGTATGCATTTGTAAGTGGAAAAAAAGGGTGTTCCACTTTACGGCGGTTTCCGCTTTACGGCGGTAGCCTGGAATCTAACCCGCCGTATAAGTGGGGCCCTCCTGTACAGTGGACCCCCCCATACCGTTGGCATCACATAACGTTAAATCCGCATACCGATACATTTTATCGCTAAGATTTTGCCTCGCATACCACTAAAAAACCCGCTCAAAATCTATTCGTCCGAGACCGTCTAATTGCGGCTGAGCCAGCCTCACATGTTCCGACGGTGGCATTGTTTACCAGCCAGCCTCTGACGTAACATCCAAGCATACAATCGGAACATTTCGTATTATTACAGTGTTTTTAGTGATTTTATCTGCAAAATAAGTGACCATGGGCCCAAGAAGCTTCTAGTGCAACCCTGTGGTAAAAAGGGTGAGAAAAATTATCGAAATACTGTGGTACCATGGTCAACTGCTGATGCTGCTGCTGCTGTAGCACTGTCAGCTGCTGCTGCTGCACTGTCAGCTGCTGCTGCTGCTGCTGCTGCTGCTGCTGTAGCACTGTCAGCTGCTGCTGCTGCTGTAGCACCATCAGCTGCTGCTGCTGCTGTACCACCGTCAGCTGCGCTGCTGCTGTAGTACCGTCTGCTGCTGCTGTAGCACCGTCTGCTGCTGCTGTAGCACTGTCAACTGCTGCTGTAGCACTGTCAGCTGCTGCTGCTGTAGCACTGACAGCTGCTGCTGCTGCTGCTGTAGCACCGTTGTTGGTGTCGCTTATTGAGAATACCAAGAAACAATTAACCCCCGAGGGTTAGCCACCCAGGATAACCAAAAAAGTCAGTGTCATCGAAGACTGTCAAACTTATTTTCATTGGGGTCCTTAATCTTGTCTCCCAGGATGCAACCCACACCAGTCGACTAACGCCCAGGTGAACAGGGAAAAATGCCTGGAATTAGTGCTCATATTGGTGAATTTAAAGCCAGCAAAGGTTGGTTTGAAAGATTTAAGAATCGTAGTGGCATACACAGTGCGATAAGGCCTGCTCTGGAAGAAAATGCCAAACAGGACCTACAGTACTCAGGAGGAAAAGGCACTCCCAGGACACAGTGTCTCATCAGTCATTGCTGCATCTTCAATAAAGGTAAGTGTCATTTATTCTTTATTTAGTAGAGTAGTACATGCGCAATATATATTGTGCATATACTACTCTACTATTGTGCATGTATCCTTCTCTTTGTGTGTAGGAAAATGTATATTTCATGTGGTAAAATTTTTTTTTTCATACTTTTGGGTGTCTTGCACGGATTAATTTGATTTCCATTATTTCTTATGGGGAAAATTCATTCGCATAACGATAATTTCGCATAACAATGAGCTCTCAGGAACGGATTAATATCGTTATGGGGGGTCCACTGTACATAGTAAATATTTCAAAAACAATCAGACACTATTGCTATAGACAAAATCCAGAATTATAGATTTTTTTTTCATTTTGCTCAAGTAATTGTTTAATGGACTTGCTGATGGAATGTGAACACGGTAACTCTTATTGAGGGATTCAGAGGAAACTGGTTAGCTAATTTGAGTCCTGGAGGTGGGAAGGGCAGTGCCTACATTCTGAAGGAGGGGTGGAGAAATCTGAATTGTTATGTTAGTACACTTCTGGAAAGACAGTAATTGAATAAATGATGGTGACTGTGCTTTTCATCTTTGGATCACCTTGCTTGGCAGGTGATGACCTTTGATGTAAAAAAAAATTAAATATTGATCTCACCTGGGATACATTCACAGTAAAAGTCCTGTGAACCTCGAACAGTGATACATGAGGCAGAATTTTGACAGGGGTTTGAAGCACAAGCATTGTACTCTTCTTCACAATTTATCCCCATGTATGCCTCTCCACATTCACAAGTGTAGTTGTTAACACCATCAATACAAGTTCCTCCATTAAGGCACGGATTTGATTCACATTCATTGGTGTCTGTTTGACATGTCTCTCCTGTAAAAAAAAAAAAACAGTATGGCAGGGTTAACGTTTTCATTACTAATAAATCTAGAGAGGTGAATAAATCCAGAGAGGTTTATAAATTAGGGACAGAAGAGAGGAGAGGTAGGAAACATCTAAGAAAGGGCTGAAGGGAGTATGTAAAACAGCTTTCAACAGCAGACGTGTGAGCATCTAGCGAGTGGAGACAAGTGGTTTTGGGGAAATGAAGAAACATGAAGGGATTCATGAAACCAATTAGAAGGACTGAGCTTTGAAGGTGGAAAATACAATGCATGTATGTAGATAGATGAGTGGGGGTTGTCTCATTTCAGATCATTTGAATAGTCATGTTCATGCACTAATGGCAAAACAGCTACTCTTTTGGGTCACCCTATCTTGGTGAGAAATAGCCAATGTAGTAAACAAAAAAAATGATGTGTATGTTTACCATGTCAGCTGTTTCCTACTAAGGTAATTCCCTGCAATGATTGACCTCTCATAGATTTAACATGTCATGATATATAATACAAAACAATGCAATTAATTTTAAGTACAAATACAGTGGAACCTCCACTCACGAGTTTAATCTGTTCTGTGACCTTGCTCACATCTGGATTTGCTTGTTTGCAGTCAATTTTCCTCATTTAAATTGAAATGCAATTAATCCATTCCCGGCTCTCAGGAGGCATGACAAGATACTTCAATATTTCGCTAATATCATCTATATGGCTTATTTATCTATCACAATTCATCTAATATGACATAATAAACAATATAAATAACATAGAAACCTGATATATATTCTAGAATGAATAAAATATGTCATTATGTAACAGGTGGAGGCAGTCACAATCGCTCCCGCATTGTTGTGGTAAACACAGCCATCTAGTGACAGCCTTTTGAAGCTGTCTATTATAATTATTATTATACATGTATTATTATTATATATTATTATTATTATTATTATTATTATTATTATTATTATTATTATTACAATATAAAGTATTTTTTTTTTTTTTAATAACACACTGGCCGATTCCCACCAAGGCAGGGTGGCCCGAAAAAGAAAAACTTTCACCATCACTCACTCCATCACTGTCTTGCCAGAAGGGTGCTTTACACTACAGTTTTTAAACTGCAACATTAACACCCCTCTTTCAGAGTGCAGGCATTGTACTTCCCATCTCCAGGACTCAAGTCCGGCCTGCCGGTTTCCCTGAATCCCTTCATAAATGTTACTTTGCTCACACTCCAACAGCATGTCAAGTATTAAAAACCATTTGTCTCCATTCACTCCTATCAAACACGCTCACGCATGCCTGCTGGAAGTCCAAGCCCCTCGCACACAAAACCTCCTTTACCCCCTCCCTCCAACCTTTCCTAGGCCGACCCCTACCCTGCCTTCCTTCCACTACAGACTGATACACTTTTGAAGTCATTCTGTTTCGCTCCATTCTCTCTACATGTCCGAACCACCTCAACAACCCTTCCTCAGCCCTCTGGACAACAGTTTTGGCAATCCCACACCTCCTCCTAACTTCCAAACTACGAATTCTCTGCATTATATTCACACCACACATTGCCCTCAGACATGACATCTCCACTGCCTCCAGCCTTCTCCTTGCTGCAACATTCATCACCCATGCTTCACACCCATATAAGAGCATTGGTAAAACTATACTCTCATACATTCCCCTCTTTGCCTCCAAGGACAAAGTTCTTTGTCTCCACAGACTCCTAAGTGCACCGCTCACCCTTTTCCCCTCATCAATTCTATGATTCACCTCATCTTTCATAGACCCATCCACTGACACGTCCACTCCCAAATATCTGAATACATTCACCTCCTCCGTACTCTCTCCCTCCAATCTGATATCCAATCTTTCATCACCTAAATAATCTGTAATTTTTATTCACACAAAAAATAGAAGATTTACTGTTATGCAGACTACTGCATTATTGTAATAATTGTATAAATAATGTCAACCCATTTATGACTGCATATTGGAATGGACAGTGACGTCATTTGTTTAGTCTTGAACATCGCCAAAGAATCGAACATTTCTGCTACTTTGAGCTCAATTTCTAGTTACTTTTTGTCATGAAACCAATCAAAATTGTATCTACTTCTGTAATATATCTTCCAGTCTATCAAATGAGAAGAAAAAAAATAAATAAAAAAAACAAAAACGAGAATACAACCATATGAAAATACCGCTAAGGGGCCCAAGTTTCAATAAGATAATCCAACAAACAAATGAGATCCAATTCCCTAGATCAAGAGCAAGAGCCCCTCACCAGCATCAAGGAACCTCCCTTGAGGCCCCCTCACTTATGGAAATTTCGCTCGTGTATGGAAGCAAAAAATCGACCGATCGACTGCTCGTATTTGGAAAAACTCGCACGTGCATGTGCTTGCAACTGGAGGTTCCACTGTAATATGAATTATTTCAACTCCACACTTTATAGTCACCCATTAAAACAGAAGAGATAAAATATTTTTAAAGTGTCGTTTACCCAAAAAATAAACTCATTTAAGAAGAAATAAATGCAGTTCACAGGGATGCAGAAATTTATGTAAAGACTTAGAATTATTTTAAAGATTACTATAGCATACCTGTAAATCCTGGAGGACAAGTGCAGTCGAAGCCATTAACTCTGTCTTTGCATGAAGCACCATTAAGGCACGGGGAAGAGGCACATTCATCAATTTCTTCATCACAGTTCTTTCCAGACCATCCAGCTTCACATTCACATTCATAGCTGCCAATCTACAATGTTTAAAATGTCATCAATATATGCTAAAAACATTACCCAATAACCTTATGAAATACTGTACTAAAGTTGCAGAAATAAATAAAATAACACATAATAAACAGTACTGTTTATTTTATTCACCAAAATGGTCATTTCCAATCAAAGAAGGGAATACATTCACCGTCATTTAGTTATATTCTGTAATGCTGTTCTGCTTGGTTTAATATATTTTATTTGCAAGAAGAATCTCATCATGGTACTGTATATACAGAACATGACTAAATTTTATAAGCTGTAACTACAGATAAAATCCAATGGTGATAAGCTGCATGCTGTACTACAAACATGCATATAATTCTTCTTCTCTCAACAAACTAGCCATATCCCACCAAGGCAGGGTGGCCCAAAAAGAAAAACTAAAGCTTCGCCTTTTAAATTTAGTAATATACACAGGAGAAGGTGTTACCAGCCCCTTGCTCCCTACATTTTAGTCACCTCTTACAACATGTAAGATGGCTTATGGAGGAAGAATTCTGATCCACTCACCCGACATCAATGACATACTGTATTGCTATAGAGAAAACCCCTTGTTGTGTAGAGCATTTCAGGCAAATTAGATTCATTTTTGTCCTCAAGATGTGACCCACACCAGTCAACTAACACCCAGGTACCTATTTTACTGATGGATGAACATGGACAGCAGGTGTCTTATGGAAACACATCTTAATGTTTCCACCCAAACTGGGAATATATTTAGGCCTAGAGCAAAATCATTCAATGAAGGTGATAAATATTATTATCCCTCATGATGAAGTTATATATTTCCCCATTTGTGAAATACATATGTAAATTTATACTGTACTGCCATGTAATTCACAGTACGTAATCATGTACACAACTCTAAAATTGATCTGCGTACAATAAGTGCATAATTTTAAATAATTTTCTTGCCCCCTGCCCCCACATTGTCTCTTTATTTTAATTCTCTAGTGTACTGAATGACCCAAGTGGGTTAGTGAATTTTGTTGTCAAGTGAATATAATAAGTTACTTGTGCAGATGCAATGATGAAATTAACATTCCTCTAAGGCAAATCAGTGCTAATTGTATCATAAAAACTTTTAGTTAAATAAAATGTAAAATAAAATTAGCAAATACCTGAGGGACTACCATTGGATATGAGATATACGAAGACTTAAAAGAAATTAATGAGAAATTGTGCAGGAAATATTAATATTTTCACTGTTTTAACCAAATAACTACCAGTAGATAAAATATCTAAAATTATTAATCACCTTATTAAAGATCTTGGTCAACATATACAGGATACATCAGTTTAGCTTACAATAAATACAAGATATTAACTTACCGTGCTGTAATCCTGCGATATTAATAATTTGCAGCATTAAAGAAAAACTATTAATACTCATAATCAATTCATAAAAGAATAATACTGGCAAATCCTTATATAAAAGTTACTCAAGGAAATTTTTTTGTATGAAACCCGTGTTTGTTTTAGAAGATGCACGTTAACAATGACTGGACACTAAACACCAAAGATTTTCTGGCTTATATACTCCCATATCCTAAGAAGCACAGTGTAAACTATGTAATATTTTAATATAAAAGGTGCCTATCAATACATTAAAACTTAAACTGTCCAAATGTAGATCTAGGTTGACATGCGTAACGCTACGAGCGTAGATCTATGTTTTTTTACATGTTTTCAAATGGAGAAAATAATGGTCAGAACACTATGCGCGTGAACGTAGATCTACGTTTGGACAGTTTAAGGGTTAATCTAAAGGATACCTACTGATTCACCTTTAAAATCTAACACAACCTGATTCAAGCCATGTCCATGTCTCATGACTTCCATAGATACCCATTCTTACAGTCTATTTGCTGGAGTATACCTGGAGGGAGTTTTGGGGGTCAATGCCCCCATAACCCAGTCAGTGACCAGGCCTCGCCTGCTAATGACTGAGCATGGTTTTTGACCACTGTATTTACTGGTTTAGTAACAGTAATAAATAATTACTTGCAAATACTGAGCCAGGAACAAATCATAGGTCGACAAATTGGAAATAAAAACAGAATGAAGTTTTGGTCTGTCATGGAGTTGCCAGCCCACCTGAAGGTGGGATGGCAACTCCATGTAATACAGGTTGACCATCACTAATCCGGCATCATCGGGACCTGTAGGGTGCTGGATTAGTGATTTTGCAGGATTACAGAGTGGTTAGGTTATAATACACTTAACCCAACAGCGATAATTACGCATCGGCAATTTCACCCAATTTACGCGCTATTTTTGGCCCATTCAATTGTTCCTGTTTATCAAACTCATAGCTATTTCGCTAGTATTCCTTCTATTCTGTCGATTGAGTACAAGAAATCGCCCATTTTCTTATTTCAACTACTCAATTAAGTGGTCAGAAATTGGTAATTTGGCCAATTTCACACAAATTTCAAGAGATGCCAATTTAAAAACAGGGTCCAGAATAAACAATGCAGCCATTCCTGGCACTAAAATAACATTTTCTCTGTTCATTAGTCATATCTCCAGGCCCCTCTTATATTACTATTTCTTTCCATTTTGATTTTTTATTCACACAAAATAGATTTACTGTTATGCAGAAGACTGCATTATTGTATTAATTGTATAAAAAAATGTCAACTCATTTGTGACTGCGTATTAGACTGGCCAGTTGGACACGTATTGGACGGTGATGTCATTTGTTGACTCTTGACATCGGCAAAAATTGAATATTTCTGCTACTTTGAGCTCAACTTCAAGGTACTTTCTGTTGTGAAACCAATCAAAATCCTATCTATTTCTGTAATATATCCTTCATTCTATCAAATGAGACCAAAAAAAAAAACAAGACAAACTATAAAAAACATACGAAAATACACCGCAAAATCACTATTTTACACCAAAAGCACGATCTCAGTTTTTTCTCATTATGCATTGCGTGCTTCAGGCCTTTTTTTTATATAATGCACACTTACCACACAGACCTATTCTCTCATATGTAGGCCGAAATTTATCAGTCACAGCTTATCTGAGTGATCTGAGCTCATGGCAACCGACAGTGGCTTCAAAACTACTTTATCTTTTATGAACAATATATGGTGTATGTATGTGCTTTACACAATGAGAAGCATTTTTTTTATTTGCTGGAACCATGGCTAGGGCTAAAAGTGAGCAAGTTATAACAATAAACGGAGAAAAAGAAATTGGAATGACTTATGCAGCAAGTAGCGCCACCAAACAGTAGCGGCAGGTTAGTGTTTTGACCCCAGAAATTAGAAATTATGCTAGTTGAAATTACTGCCAGATTACTGATGGAACCGAATTACAGTACTGATTGCCAGATTACTGATGGAACCGAATTACAGTACTGATTGCCAGGTTAGTGATGGCCGACCTGTACAAGTAATACAAATAATTGCTTCATTCATCTTATTATTCAAACCTGGATTTTTTCATACTTGGCAGCAGACTGTACAGTAGAGCCCCGCATTATGGCGTTTCACTTAATGGCATTCTGCTAATATGGACATTTCAAATTAAGACCAAAACTCGCTAAACAGCTCCCCCCACCTGACTTTCTAATATGGTCACCGTGCCCTACCCAGTTTGTTTACATTCTCCATGAGCACTGCGTCTCTCCATTATGTCCGGAAACTTTCCAAAATTTCAAGTGTTTTTAAAAGTTACTTCATATTTTATATATACAGTGGACCCTCTTTATTGTAAGCACGAGAATTTGTAATTTTTGAAAATGTAATGTTTTTTCATCAAAATATTGACTCACAAACCGTCATTTGACTTGCAAATAGTCGTTCGTCCCAGACTCGTACGAGCGGCCTCGACGTGGCCACAGTCAATGTCCCATTGTTTATCAGTGGGTGAGCACGATCCCACATTCTCATACTATACATTTGATAATATTCCATTCGTTTCAGTGCTTGCAACTGCTAAATAAGCCACCATGGGCCCAAAGAAAGCTAGTGCCAGCCCTTTGGTAAAGAAGGTGACAAACATGATAGAATTAAAGAAAAAGATTGTAGAAAAAATACAAAAGTGGTAGTGGTAGAGGGTGGAAGTGATGGTGGTGGAGGGTGGTACTGGTTGTGATGGTGGTAGAGGGTGGTAGTGATGGTGGCAGAGGGTGGTAGTGATGTGGTAAAGGGTGGTAGTGGTTGTGATGGTGGTAGAGGGTGGTAGTGATGGTAGAGGATGGTAGTGATGGTGGTAGAGGGTGGTAGTGATGGTGGTTGTGGGTGGTAGTGGTTGTGATGGTGGTAGAGGGTGGTATGTGGTTGATAGTGGTAGAGGGTGGTAGTGGTTGTGATGGTGGTAAAGGGTGGTAGTGGTTGTGATGGTAGTAGAGGGTGGTAGTAATGGAGATTTATGCAATGTGGAGTAGGACGGAAAGATTTGTGGCATTAAAAAACAAAGAAGGGAAGTGACCCCAGATAAGGACTTGGTACCTAGAGTCCTTATGGAGGGGGATTTCCTTTTCAAAAAGTAGCCTCTCTTCCCTCTCCCCTCCTCCCTGTCTTCCATCCACCAACAACAGCCTTTAATAAAGGTAAGTGTCATGTTGAATGTTCATTCTTTTGTGCATGTAAATCTATAAGGTAAAAAAATTTTTTTTGTTAATACTTCTAGGTGTCTGGAACGGATTAATTGGATTTATATTATTTCTTATGGGGAAAATGGTTTCGCAAATCGTCAATTTCTCCATTAGTCACACTCTCTGGAACGGATTAATTACGAAAAACAATGGTCCACTGTGCTCTGATAATTATACTTATGTATACCTGTACTTAAATATACTCACACACTGTGCTGACATGCAGGTACACATTAAAATCAGTAAGAGTGTTTTATGTCTTGAGACACCATATTATTTTTAAAATTATTTTTCTTTAACACACCGGCCGTTTCCCACCATGGCAGGGTGGCCCAAAAGAGAAAAACCTTCATCATCATTCACTCCATCATTGTTCTGCCAGAGGTGTGCTTACACTACAGTTATAAAACTGCAGCATTAACACCCCTCCTTCATAATGCAGACACTGTACTTCCCATCTCCAGGACTCAAGTCAGGCCTGCTGGTTTCCCTGAATCCCTTCATAAATGTTACTTTGCTCACATTCCAACAGCACGTTAAGTATTAACCCTTTCAGGGTTTCGGCCGTACTAGTACGGGTTACGCACCAGCGTCCATGATGTACTAGTACTCATAAATTCTAGCGCCTTCAAATCTAGTGAGAGAAAGCTGGTAGGCCTACATTTGAAAGAATGGGTCTATGTGGTCAGTGTGCACAGTATAAAAAAATCCTGCAGCACACAGTGTGTAATGAGAAAAAAAAAAACTTTGACCGTGTTTTTGGAATAAAACAGCGACTTTGCACTGTATTTTCGTATGGTATTTATTGTTGTATTCTAGTTTTCCTGGTCTCATTGTATAGAATGGAAGACATATTACAGAAATTGGGATGATTTTGACTGGTTTTACAATGAAAAGTACCTTGAAATTGAGCTCAAATTAGCAGAAATGTTCGATTTTTACCGAAGTTCAAAAGTAAACAAATCATGCTACGCGTCCAATACACGTCAACTGGTGAGTCTAATATTCTTTCACAAGTGCACCGATATTATCTATACCATTTCTACACTAATGCATGCAGTAGTCTGCATAACAGTAAATCTTCTATTTTTCGTGAGAAAAAAAATTCAAAATGGAAAGCAAAAGAATGTAAGAGGGGCATGGGGACATGACTAATGAACAGATGTTATGTTATTTTAGTGCCAGGAATGTCTTTCTTGTTTATTCTGGACCCTATTTGGAAATTGGCATCTTTTGAAATTTGTGTGAAATTGGCAAAATTGCCAAATTCTGACCACTGTATTGGATAGTTGAAATCAGTAAATTGGTGGTTTCTTGTACTCATTCGATAGAAAAAATGGAGTGCTAGCAAAATAGTTATGAGTTTTGTCAACTAGTACATTGGAATTGGCCGAAAATAGGGCTCAAAGTGGGCAAAATCGCCGATGCGTAAACATCGTCGAGACCGCTAACTTCGTGAGAGCATAATTCCGTAAGTTTTCCATCAAATTTCATACTTTTGGTGTCATTATGATCGGGAAAAGATTCTCTATCTTTTCAAAAGAAAAGACAATTTTTTTTTTTTAAATTTGGGGGACCCTGAGAACAAGTCTCTGAGAGGGCCTGTGGACCCTGAAAGAGTTAGAAACAATTTACCTCCATTCTCTATCAAATACACTCATGCATGCTTGCTGGAAATCCAAGCTTCTTGCACACAAAACCTCCTTCACCCCCTCCCTCCAACCTTTCCTAGGCCAACCCCTACCCCGCCTTCCCTCCACTACAGATTTATACACTCTCGAAGTGATTCTATTTTGTTCCACCCTCTCTACGTGTCTGAACCACCTCAACAACCCCTCCTCAGCCCTCTGGATTATAGTTTTGGTAATCCCGCACCTCCTAATTTCCAAACTAAGAATTCTCTGCATTATATTCACACTGCATATTGCCCTCATCTCCACTCCCTCCAGCCTTCTCCTTGTTGCAACATTCACCACCCATGCCTCACTCCCATACAAGAGCGTTGGTATAACTATACTCTCATACATTCCTCTCTTTGCCTCTATGGACAAAGTTTTTTGTCTCCACAGACCCCTAAGCGCACTGCTTACCCTTTACCCGTCATCAATTCTATGATTCACCTCATCCTTCATAGACCCACCCGCTGACACGTCCACTCCCAAATATCTGAATACATTCACCTTCTCCATACTCTCTCTCTCTCCAATCTGATATCCAATTTTTCATCACCTAATCTTTTTGTTATCCTCCTCTTCTTACCATACCATATTACCATCACCATATTAATGATAATAATACTCAATAATAATCACTGAGTCTCATTAAATGTCATAAATTACATTAATATACACATTTTCATTAGTCAATCTATGATATTTTTTCAAAATTATATAAAAAACATGATACATAACATATAAACATGATAAATACACTCCACAGTAGAATAAAGTAACATAAATATGAGATGTGGTGGCCCGGTGGCCTGGTGGCTAAAGCTCCCGCTTCACACACGGAGGGCCCGGGTTCGATTCCCGGCGGGTGGAAACATTTCGACACGTTTCCTTACACCTGTTGTCCTGTTCACCTAGCAGCAAATAGGTACCTGGGTGTTAGTCGACTGGTGTGGGTCGCATCCTGGGGGACAAGATTAAGGACCCCAATGGAAATAAGTTAGACAGTCCTCGATGACACACTGACTTTCTTGGGTTATCCTGGGTGGCTAACCCTCCGGGGTTAAAAATCCGAACGAAATCTTATCTTATCTTATCTTATCTAGATGCCTTGTACGAGTGACGGCAAGAATAACGTTTTTTCTAGCCCAACATCAGAGAAAATGTGTATACTATACTATTACTGGGGGTAACTGTAGAAAATTATTCCTTTTGTGTGCCTTCACTCAGAGCGTCATTTTTTTTCTAAAAAAAGGTGTTACATAAGAATGGGAGTGTTGCTATTTATTTATTCTACTGTATCAATGTGGAGACAACTTGTACACAATGTAACTTGTACACAAACTAGACACATAAGCCTGGTTTGTTTACAAAACTCACACCTGCCTGGTTTGTTTACATGACTCTGCGCCTGTCCTCTCTCATGTACTCATTCTCTCTCTCTCTCTCATTTATTTGTTTTATCTCGTTTACTCACCTCTGACCCTACATTATGACTACAAATACTTTAAGGTAAGTAATGAGTGAACTGTATACATATGCATTTTATCACTCTGGGATGCTTTAAATGTCATAGAATATTATGTGTGGGTGGGGTGGTCTGGTATGGTAGCCTGGCTGGCTACTATACATACCACACTTGATTTCTTACAATAAATACTACTCATTTCACCCTACATTAAGATTACAAATATTTTAAGGTAAGTAATGAGTATTGTTTTCTAATGCCTAGTTCTATTGCTAACTTAATTTATGTTAGTGTAAACTTGCTATCTAGTATTTATTATTTTTTATTATTTTTTTATTATCACACTGGCCGATTCCCACCAAGGCAGGGTGGCCCGAAAAAGAAAAACTTTCACCATCATTCACTCCATCACTGTCTTGCCAGAAGGGTGCTTTACACTACAGTTTTTAAACTGCAACATTAACACCCCTCCTTCAGAGTGCAGGCACTGTACTTCCCATCTCCAGGACTCAAGTCCGGCCTGCCGGTTTCCCTGAATCCCTTCATAAATGTTACTTTGCTCACACTCCAACAGCACGTCAAGTATTAAAAACCATTTGTCTCCATTCTAGTATTTATATGCAATTTTAAGTGGAGGGGGAGGGGCGCTTCACTTTATGGCTGTAGCCGGGAACCTTACCTACCATATAAGTGGGGCCCTAATGTATAAGAAAAATAAACCCTCCAGGGCTATTTCTGACTAGCAGTCCAAAAGCACAGTCAATAAGTTTTTGTATTTCAATCTGAGATTATTATCTCTTTAAACTTCTATTTCCTTATGCTCAGCAGTTATTCTCTGTTCCCTCTACTTTTCCTCTCCAACCAAGATTAATGTACCCATGAGGAGTATTGGTATGAAGAAACTTAGTTGCTCATTGGACTAGAGAAAAAATGAAAAACAGTACTATCATCTTCAACAAGTCTTTTTAAAAACCATTATTTTTACACAAAATAAAAAATTATCATGTGCCAGAAATGTTCATATCATTTTCAGACCAAAAGTAAAGAGTGTATAAATCATTTTACAAATTCTAAAAAAATATTCTTTTTAACTGTATTTACAGGAAATATAAATGAAAATAAACTGCTTACCAAATCATGGCAATTTTGAGCATGGACACAAATATTTTGTGCACATTCGTTGCGGTTATCTTCACAATGGTTGCCTTCAAAGCCTGGTGGGCATCGACATGCATATGTATTTATTCCATCCTCGCATGTTCCTCCATTCTGGCATGGATCAGGCATGCAGTCATCAATGTTTGTCTCACAGTTGCTTCCTGTAACAATAAATGAAAGGATTTAAATTACTTTTTTTTTTTTAACAAGTCGGTCATCTCCCACCAAGGCAGGGTAACCCAAAACGAAAGAAAATCTCCAAAAAGAAAATACAGTGGACCCTCGAATTTAGTAGTGCCTTTTCTGTATGCAAAACTATTTTTATTATCTATAAAATGTATTGTTTGTTAATATTTTTGGGTGTCTGGAATGGTTTAATTGGATTTACATTATTTCCTATGGGAAATATTAACAAAACATACATTAACAAAACATGTATAGGGCAAGGATGAATAACGTCTTGTAGGAGTGAGGAAGAGCCAGTTGTGAGTGTGGGGAAAGTTTGTGAGGCAGTAGGTAAAATAAAAGGGGATAAGGCAGCCGGGATTGATGGGATAAAGATAGAAATGTTAATTAAAAGTAGGTGGGGATATAGTTTTGGAGTGGTTGGTGCTATTATTTAATAAATGTATGGAAGAGGGTAAGGTACCTAGGGATTGGGAGAGAGCATGCATAGTTCCTTTGTATAAAGGCAAAGGGGACAAAAGAGAGTGCAAAAATTATAGGGGGATAAGTCTGTTGAGTCCTAGGTAGTAGGTTGGTAGACAGCAACCGCCCAGGGAGGTACTACCGTCCTGCCAAGTGAGTATAAAATGAAAGCCTGTAATTGTTTTACATGATGGTAGGATTGCTGGTGTCTTTTGTCTGTCTCATAAACATGCAAGATTTCAGGTATGTCTTGCTACTTCTACTTACACTTAGGTCACACTACTCATACATGTACAAGCATATATATACACACGCCTCTGGGTTTTCTGCTATTTTCTTTCTAGTTCTTGTTCTTGTTTATTTCCTCTTATCTCCATGGAGAAGTGGAACAGAATTCTTCCTCCGTAAGCCATGCGTCTCGTAAGAGGCGACTGAAATGCCGGGAGCAAGGGGCTAGTAACCCCTTCTCCTGTATATATTGCTAAATTTGAAAGGAGAAACTTTCGTTTTTCCTTTTGGGCCACACCACCTCGGTGGGATACGGCTGGCATGTTGAAAGAAGAAGAAGAAGTCTGTTGAGTATACCTGGTAAAGTGTATGGTAGAGTTATTATTGAAAGAATTAAGAGTAAGATGGAGAATAGGATAGCAGATGAACAAGGAGGCTTTAGGAAAGGTATGGGGTGTGTGGACCAGGTGTTTACAGTGAAGCATATAAGTGAACAGTATTTAGATAAGGCTAAAGAGGGTTTTGTGGCATTTATGGATTTGGAAAAGGCGAATGACAGGGTGGATAGGGGGGCAATGTGGCAGATGTTGCAGGTGTATGGTGTAGGAGGTAGGTTAATGAAAGCAGTGAAGAGTTTTTACGAGGATAGTGAGGCTCAAGTTAGAGTATGTAGGAAAGAGGGAGATTATTTCCCAGTAAAAGTAGGCCTTAGACAAGGATGTGTGATGTCACCGTGGTTGTTTAATATATTTATAGATGGGGTTGTAAGTGAAGTAAACGCGAGGGTCTTGGCAAGAGGAGTGGAGTTAAAAGATAAAGAATCACACATAAAGTGGGAGTTGTCACAGTTGCTCTTTGCTGATGACACTGTGCTCTTGGGAGATTCTGAAGAAAACTTGCAGAGGTTGGTGGATGAATTTGGTAGGGTATGCAAAAGAAGAAAATTAAAAGTGAATACAGGAAAGAGTAAGGTTATGAGGATAACAAAAAGATTAGGTGATGAAAGATTGGATATCAGATTGGAGGGAGAGAGTATGGAGGAGGTGAATGTATTCAGATATTTGGGAGTGGACGTGTCAGCGGATGGTTCTATGAAAGATGAGGTGAATCATAGAATTGATGAGGGGAAAAGGGTGAGCGGTGCACTTACGAGTCTGTGGAGACAAAGAACTTTGTCCTTGGAGGCAAAGAGGGGAATGTATGAGAGTATAGTTTTACCAACGCTCTTATATGGGTGTGAAGGATGGGTGATGAATGTGACAGCGAGGAGAAGGCTGGAGGCAGTGGAGATGTCATGTCTGAGGGCAATGTGTGGTGTGAATATAATGCAGAGAATTCGTACTTTGGAAGTTAGGAGGGGCGGGATTACCAAAACTGTTGTCCAGAGGGCTGAGGAAGGGTTGTTGAGGCGGTTCATACATGTAGAGAGAATGGAGCGAAACAGAACGACTTCAAGAGTGTATCAGACTGTAGTGGAAGGAAGGCGGGGTAGGGGTCGGCCTAGGAAAGGTTGGAGGGAGGGGGTAAAGGAGGTTTTGTGTGCGAGGGGCTTGGACTTCCAGCGGGCATGCGTGAGCGTGTTTGATAGGAGTGAATGGAGACAAATGATTTTTAATACTTGACGTGCTGTTGGAGTGTGAGCAAAGTAACATTTATGAAGGGATTCAGGGAAACCGGCAGGCCGGACTTGAGTCCTGGAGATGGGAAGTACAGTGCCTGCACTCTGAAGGAGGGGTGTTAATGTTGCAGTTTAAACTGTAGTGTAAAGCACCCTTCTGGCAAGACAGTGATGGAGTGAGTGATGGCGAAAGTTTTTCTTTTTCGGGCCACCCTGCCTTGGTGGGAATCGGCCAGTGTGTTAATAATAAACAACATTTTATAGATAATAAAAATAGTTTTGCATACAGAAAAGGCACTACTAAATTCGAGGGTCCACTGTACTTTCATCATCATTCAACACTTTCACCTCACTCACACATAATCACTATTTTTGCAGAGGTGCTCAGAATACAATGACTTGTCATTATAAAATATAGGCACAGTAATAAATGAATCAGTCATCTTCTTTCTTCTTTCAACACACTGGCCGTATCCCACCGAGGCAGGATGGCCCAAAAGGAAAAACGAAAGTTTCTTCTTTTAAATTAAGTAATACATGCAGGAGAAGGGGTTATGAATCTGTCATATGATAAATAAAAGTAAAAGAACACAGTGAAATTAATGTCTTATAGTCGGACTTGAGCCCTGGAAATGGGAAGTACAATGCCTGCACTTTAAAGGAGGGGGTTGGGATATTGGCAGTTTGGAGGGATATGTTGTGTATCTTTATACGTATATGCTTCTAAACTGTTGTATCCTGAGCACCTCTGCAAAAGCAGTGATAATGTGTGAGTGTGGTGAAAGTGTTGAATGATGATGAAAGTATTTTCTTTTTGGGGATTTTCTTTCTTTTTTGGGTCACCCTGCCTCGGTGGGAGACGACCGACTTGTTGAAAAAAAAAAAAAAAAAATGAGCAAGGAGACTTCAGAGTGAGTAGGGGATGTGTAGATCAAGTGTTTACATTGAAGCATATATGTGAACAGTATTTAGATAAAGGTAGGGAAGTTTTTATTGCATTTATGGATTTAGAAAAGGCATATGATAGAGTGGATAGAGGAGCAATGTGGCAAATGTTGCAAGTTTATGGAATAGGTGGTAAGTTACTAAATGCTGTAAAGAGCTTTTATGAGGATAGTGAGGCTCAGGTTAGGGTGTGTAGAAGAGAGGGAGAATACTTCCTGGTAAAAGTAGGTCTTAGACAGGGATGTGCAATGTCACCATGGTTGTTTAATATATAGATGAGGTTGTAAAAGAAGCAAATGCTAGGGTGTTCGGGAGAGGGGTGGGATTAAATTATGGGGAATCAAATTCAAAATGGGAATTGACACAGTTACTTTTTGCTGATGATACTGTGCTTATGGGAGATTCTAAAGAAAAATTGCAAAGGTTAGTGGATGAGTTTTGAGAATGTGTGTAAAGGTAGAAAGTTGAAAGTGAACATAGAAAAGAGTAAGGTGATGAGGGTATCAAATGATTTAGATAAAGAAAAATTGGATATCAAATTGGGGAGGAGGAGTATGGAAGAAGTGAATGTTTTCAGATACTTGGGAGTTGACGTGTCGGCGGATGGATTTATGAAGGATGAGGTTAATCATAGAATTGATGAGGGAAAAAAGGTGAGTGGTGCGTTGAGGTATATGTGGAGTCAAAAAACGTTATCTATGGAGGCAAAGAAGGGAATGTATGAAAGTATAGTAGTACCAACACTCTTATATGGATGTGAAGCTTGGGTGGTAAATGCAGCAGCGAGGAGACGGTTGGAGGCAGTGGAGATGTCCTGTCTAAGGGCAATGTGTGGTGTAAATATTATGCAGAAAATTCGGAGTGTGGAAATTAGGAGAAGGTGTGGAGTTAATAAAAGCATTAGTCAGAGGGCAGAAGAGGGGTTGTTGAGGTGGTTTGGTCATTTAGAGAGAATGGATCAAAGTAGAATGACATGGAAAGCATATAAATCTATAGGGGAAGGAAAGAGGAGTAGGGGTCGTCCTCAAAAGGGTTGGAAAGAGGGGGTAAAGGAGGTTTTGTGGGCGAGGGGCTTGGACTTCCAGCAAGCGTGCATGAGCGTGTTAGATAGGAGTGAATGGAGACGAATGATACTTGGGACCTGACGATCTGTTGGAGTGTGAGCAGGGTAATATTTAGTGAAGGGATTCAGGGAAACCGGTTATTTTCTTATAGTCGGACTTGAGTCCTGGAAATGGGAAGTACAATGCCTGCACTTTAAAGGAGGGGTTTGGGATATTGGCAGTTTGGAGGGATATGTTGTGTATCTTTATACGTATATGCTTCTAAACTGTTGTATTCTGAGCACCTCTGCAAAAGCAGTGATAATGTGTGAGTGTGGTGAAAGTGTTGAATGATGATGAAAGTATTTTCTTTTTGGGGATTTTCTTTCTTTTTTGGGTCACCCTGCCTTGGTGGGAGACGACCGACTTGTTGAAAAAAAAAAAAAAAAAAATGCTGTGCTCAGTTAACTTTCCAAATACAAGGCTTTTTTTTTATTTACACAGTAATGCTACAATGGTAGGCTATGACATACTACCTTATTTTACAAGCAAAAAGATGTTATCTATCTCAGCTCAGTTAAAAGTCTTCCCTAACAATATCTATCAAGTGGCTATGAGTATATGTAGCCTTGAAGCAGTTTTCATATTACAGTACACAGAAACAATAACAACAGATGTGGCAGCAGCTGCAGCAACAGCAGCAGTAGTAGTAGTAGTAGTAGTAGTATGCTGACATCAAAATTCAGATTATCCTCCAACTGCAACATCCCAATCCCTTCAGGGTGAAAGCACTATTGCACTTCCCACCTCTAGAACTCTAAGTCAGGCTAATAAATTTCCCAGAATTCCTTCATAAATGTTAATTTGTTCACACTCCAACTCTTAATAGCAAAAATTTACCTGTAAACCCTGGTGTACAAATGCAGGTAAAGGAATTGTCTTGGTCATAACATGAAGCTCCATTGAGGCATGGAGAGGAGTCACATTCATCAATTTCAAGACAATTTGGTGGAGAACCTAAAAAAAGAGATCTTCAATAAAATCTTGAAATACAAGTACAGTACAAGCACAGTACAGTGCTGTACTGTGCTATAACCATTTTATTTATAGTTATTCTACCCTGATATTTAAAAAAAAAATTGTATATTTTTTTAAATATCAGGGTAGAATAACTATAAATAAAATGCTTATAGGTTTATAAGTTTTTAGGTAATAATAGTAATAATTAAAAAAGGGAGAACTGAATGGCCTAAAGTTACCTGAGCAATAATGATACTGAATATTTTTTAAAACCCACCAGCTGTCTCCCACTAAGGTAGGATGACCCAAAAAATGAGGAAATGCATTCACTATCATTTATTCAACCACTTTCTCACCAGAAGAATGCTGACATCGCAATTCAATGGCCCTTGAAATAGCAACATCCTCACCCCTTCTTTAGTGCAGGCACTGCACTTCCTATATGTCTTAGTATGGTAGCCAAAACACCCATTTTTGTCCAGTAGTCTGACAACTGTATTTTACTAAACCTCACCTGAGAATCCTGGACTGCATCGACAAACGTACTCATTAACACCATCCATGCAGTACGAGTTTTCTGGGCAGGTCACATTATAGCAGTCATTGAAGTTGTGCTCACAGTTGTCTCCCTCAAAGCCAAGCATGCATGTGCACTTATATGCATTTTGCAAATCTGCACAGGTCCCTCCATTCTGGCATGGGTCTGATGAACACTCATGAATCTCCTGTTAAAACATGCAGAACAAAGTAGTGTAATTAATCTAAAACTATTTTTTAAGCTTTTTAAGTCATACATAATCAAATTCAGAAATTACAGACTGGGCCATGGGGGAGTTGACCCCTAGAACACCCTCCAGATATACTCCAGGTATAAGTAATAATAAATATACTCTCACTATTGATAACTTAAGCAATGAACTCTTCCAAAAATGCCTATTTTTGAGAAATTAAAAAACAGTGATTACTATTTTACAAACTGAAAGATTCATTCTAAAAATTTTGATATTAAATGTTTTTACATTAGATGATAGTTATTAGCATAGTCTATGAACTGCAACTACATGATACATTATATAAGGACTAGTTTTTAATTAAAGAAGATAAATTAATTTCAGGGGCTAGTAACCCTTTCTGTATGAATTACTAAATGTAGAAAGAAAAACCTTTATGCTTCTTTTTTGGGTCACCCTGCCTTGGTGGGAGATGGCTGTTGTGTGTAAAAAAAAATAATTTTGGATATGTATTACAAATATACGGGTCCGCCATCACAAATCCGGCATCACTGGGAGCTGTAGTGTGCCAGATTACAGAGTGGTTAGGTTATAATACACTAAATAAAATTAACCAACTTAGGTTAGAATACACTTAATAAAATTAACCAACATAAAAAAGTTCACAAGAACATAAGAAAGAAGGAACACTGCAACAGGCCGGACTTGAGTCCTGGAGATGGGAAGTACAGTGCCTGCACTCTGAAGGAGGGGTGTTAATGTTGCAGTTTAAAAACTGTAGTGTAAAGCACCCTTCTGGCAAGACAGTGATGGAGTGAATGATGGTGAAAGTTTTTCTTTTTCGGGCCACCCTGCCTTGGTGGGAATCGGCCAGTGTGATAATAAATATAATAAAAAAGTTCACAAGAACATAAGAAAGAAGGAACACTGCAACAGGCCTACTGACCCATGCGGAGCAGGTCCATGCCCCCCTCCCCCCACGGATTAGACCAATGACCCCCCCTGGATTAGCCCAATGACCCACCCAGACTGGTCACCTCCACTCACTGAAGGAGCACGGCACCAGACCCAGCAGCACAAGCTAGTCAGGTCCAACTCACACCCACCCACACCCACTCATGTATTTATCTAACCTATTTTTAAAACTACACAACGTTTTAGCCACAATAACTGTACTCGAGAGTTTGTTCCACTCATCCACAACTCTATTACCAAACCAGTGCTTTCCTATATCCTTCCTGAATCTGAAATTTTCCAACTTGAAACCATTGCTGCAAGTCCTGTCTTGGCTGGAAAATTTCAGCATGCTATTTACATCCCCGTTATTTATTCCTGTTTTCCATTTATACACCTGGATCATACCTTCCCTAATTCTATGCTTTTCGAGAGAATGCAGATTCAGGGCCCTCAGTCTATCCTCATAGGGAAGATTTCTTATACATGGGATCATCTTTGTCATCCTCCTCTGTACGTTTTCCAGAGCATTTATATCCATTCTGTAATACGGTGACCAGAACTGAGCAGCATAGTCTAATTGAGGCCTAACCAAGGATATATAGAGTTGAAGAACAGCCTGAGGACTTCTATTATTTATACTTCTAGATATGAAGCCAAGAATTCTGTTAGCTTTATTACAAACACTAATGCACTGTTTTCTTGGTTTTAGATTATTGCTAACCAGAACTCCTAAATCCTTTTCACAATCAGTAGTATTAAGATCTACATTATTTAGTTTATATGTGGCATGGTTATTTACCTGTCCAACATTTAGAACTTTGCATTTGTCAATATTAAACTGCATCTGCCACTTCTCCGACCACTGCATCAGTCTATTCAAATCATCCTGGACTGCTCTAGTGTGCTCATTAGAATGAATTGGATGGCCTATTTTGGTGTCATCAGCAAATTTGCTTATGTCGCTATTTATTCCCTCATCTATGTCGTTTATGTAAATTGTGAACAACAACGGGCCCAACACTGACCCCTGAGGAACACCACTTGTGACGTGTCCCCATTCTGATTTCTCCCCATTTATGCAAACTCTCTGCTGCCTATTTGTCAGCCATGCCTCTACCCAGGAAAAAATTTCTCCTCCTATTCCGTGTGCCTTAAGTTTCCTCAATAGCCTCTGGTGTGGAACTCTACCGAAAGCCTTACTGAAGTCCATATACACAATATCATATTCATTACCATGATCTCCCTCCTCAAACACCTTAGTGAAAAAGTTAGTAAATTCGTAAGACAGGAACGCCCCTTTGTAAAACCTTGTTGAGATTCATTAATCAATTTGTGCCTATCAAGATGGCTACGAATTGCTTCGGCAATTATTGATTCCATAAATTTTCCCACTATGGAGGTAAGGCTTATTGGTCTATAGTTCGAAGCCAACGACCTGTCACCTGCCTTGTAAATAGGTATTACATTTGCCATTTTCCACTTATCAGGCACTATGCCAGTTTGTAGTGATATGTTGAAAAGATTAGCCAAAGGTATGCTAAGTTCCTCTTTACATTCCTTTAACACCCTTGCAAACAGTTCATCAGGGCTGGGGATTTGTTAGGTTTTATTTTCTCTATTTGTCTGAGGACCATGTCACTAGTTACCGCAATCGTGCATAGTTTATTATCATCCTGTTCTACATAATCTATTATTTCAGAAATATCGCTGGTAATTTCCTAGGTGAAAACTGAGAGGACGTAGGTACGTATTGAGAATTTCACACATATCCTTATCACTGTCAGTGATCTGACCTGAGTTAAACATAGGAAAAAATTGAACTTTTCCACTACTTTGAGCTCAATTTCAAGATACTTTTCATCGTGAAAGCAATCAAAATCATATCTATTTCTGTAATATGTCTTCCATTCTATCAAATGAGACCAAAAAAAAACGAGAATACAACCATAAAAACAATACAAAAATACACCGCTATGGGGCTACTAATGGCTGAGAAGTGAACTCCGTTATTTATGGTCCGATTTCTTTCATTTTTGGTGTATGTTAAGAAGCATCTTTCCATCATACATTGCCCAAGTTTCAATAAGATAGCCCAACAAACAACTGAGAGAGAAAAAAATAATTATTATAATAACAATAATATCTTTATTTACTACACGTACAAGTACATGGTATACAGGCCTAGCTGACATCAGTGGCATACTACTATATAGAAAGCCCTTTGTTATGCTAAAGCATTTCAGGCAAATTAGGTCAGTGTCCCAGGATAAGACCCACACCAGTCCAGTAACACCCAGATACCCAATTACTGATGGGTGAACATAGACAACAGGTGTAAAGAAACATGCCCAAAGTTTCTACCCAGGCTGGGAATTGAATATTTACCAAAAATCTTATATGGCTAGCCTAAGCTTGGTACTAGAAATAAGCCACTTTGACTTTTTGGGGTTATCCTAGGTTCTCTACACATATGCTGCTATGTGTGATAATCTATGTAGAGAAAATAGCTTTTTTGTTTCAGTTTTATGGTGGAGTACGAGTGTATATCACAGTTAGCCCTGTGCTATACTCCGTTTTCTCTAATATAAGCCCCCCAAGACAGGGATAGGAGAATGGTACGTGTATCCCATATCCTCTTCATACCTCCGTCGAACTGCTCGGTATTATGCCAAATATTATTCATTCTGGAGTACTTAACACGTTTTTATGTTATTTATATCATTTATTATGTCATATCAAATCAACTGTGATAGGCAAATAAGCAGTAGTGTTGATATTAGAGTAATAATAAAGCATATTCCCCTTCATCAAGACTGAGCTCCTGGCAACCGACAGTGGCTTCAAAGCCACCTTATCTTTGATGGACAATGTACTATGTAGGTTCTTTACACAACGAGAAGCATTTCTTTTATTCGTTGGCTAGGGCTAAAATTAAGCAGGTTATAAGAATAAATGGAGAAAAAGAAATTGGAATGACTTATGAAGCAAGTAGCGCCACCCAACAGTTCCAGCAGGTTGGTGTGGCGACCCTGGAAATTTGAAATTATGCTAGCTGAAATTAGTGCCGAATAACTGATGGAACCGGATGTCTGACTGCCGGATTTGTGATGTTGGACCTGTACTTTTCAATACGGTGGACCCTCTGTTTTCGTGATTAGTCCGTTCCAGAGAGTCTGACGAAACACAAAAATCACGAAAACTGAAATCATTTTCCCATAAGAAATAATGTAAATCCAATTAATCCATTCTAGACACCCAAAAGTATTAACAAAAAATAATTTTTTTAGAGATTAAATATAGAGTTTCACACAGAAAACAATGACAAATCAATATAAAGCACTAAAAAATGTATAAATGAATATTTAACATCACACTTGTTGGTGTATGAAAGACGGAGAGGGGAGAGGGAGGACTGATTATTGTTTGGAAGGGGAATCCCCTTTCATAAAGACTTCAGCTTGAGAGTCACTGGACCCCTGTCGCACAAAAAAATTTTCAAGAGAGATCTGTTTCTGTCGTCTCTTTAAGATTTGCCTAAAATGGGAGAAGGCATTGTCATTGAACATGTTGCAGACACAGCCTGCAACAGCTTTCTTAGGGTGATGTTCTCCACAAACATTTGCACCTCACTCCACTTTGCACAAATGTCCTTAATCACTGAAGAAGGCACATACTTCCCTCTCTCTTCCTCCTCCTCTGAAGCAATTTCCTTAGCTGTGGTTTGTTGCTGCTCCAGATGAAGGTCTTGCAGCTCTTCAGTGGTTAGCTCTTCACTGTGGTTCTCCACCAACTCTTCCACATCCTAGCCAGCTCACATCCAACCCCATGGAACTTCCCAATACCACAATAGATTCCACAACAGGCAGAGGGTTGTTAGGGTCAGCCCCAAACCCTTCAAAATCCTTCTCTTGGACACATTCTGGTGCAATTTTCTCCAAGCAGAGTTCATCCTGGAAGCCACTCCCTGCCAAGCCTTATCTATAAGGGTTATGCAATTTAGGATATTGAAGTGATCCCTCCAGAACTCTCTTAGGGTCAATTCAGTGTCCGAGGTCACATCAAAACATCTTTGAAACACTGCTTTGGTGTATAGTTTTTTGAAGTTTGAAATGATCTGTTGGTCCATGGGCTGGATGAGAGGAGTGGTATTAGGGAGCAAAACTTCACTGTGATGAAACTAAACTCCTCCAACAATTGGTCATCCAAGTCTGGAGGATGAGCAGGAGCAATGCCCATTACCAGGAGGCACTTGAGTGGCAAATGATTATCCAGGAGGTATTTCTTCACATTCGGGCCAAACACTTCATTGAACCAATCAAGGAAAATATTCCTCGTGACCCATCACACACAATTAAGTCTTGATGAAACTGTTTTTCTTGAACACACTGGGATTTTCAGTGATACACCACTAAAGGCTTCACTTTGAAATCCCCCTTAGCATTACCACAGAACAAGAGTTAGCCTGTCTTTCATAGGCTTGTGTTCTGGCAATGTCTTTTCCTCCTGCGTGATGTAGGTCCTCTTTGACATTTTCTTCCAAAAGAGGCCTGTTTGTCACAAGTGAACACTTGTTAGGGGATGAATCCTTCAGCTTCTATGTACTCCTTGAATTCATGCACGAATTCTTCAGCCGCATGTTTGTCTAAACTTGCAGTCTTCGCCATGCCTTACAACACTCTGTATACCACAATGCTTCTTGATTTTTTGAACCAGCCTTTGCTGGCCTTAAATTCCCTAACAGCAGCACTCGGTCCAGGCATTTTCTTTACTAGATCCACATGCAACTCCCTTGCCTTTTTGCAAATTATCGACTGCACAACACTATCTCCCACTAACTGTTTTTGGTTGAGCCACATCTTCAACTGTCTGTGATCTGTTTCGTTAGCATATTTACCCCTTTTGCAACATCAGCTTCCTTGATTTCTTTTTTCTTTGCCATGATGAAACTGATCGTTAATACGGGCTTTCCGTACATCCTGGCGAGGTCAGCTACACGTAAGACATTTTCATATTTTTCTACAAGTTCTTTCTTGAATTCTATCGTGTTTCTCACCTTTACCAAAGGGCTCACAGTGGGAGCTTTCTTTTGGCCCAAGGTGGCTTATTTAGCAGTCACACACAATAAATAAGTGCAAAAAATAATGTATTATTAGGAAATGTTTCGTATGACCTTGCAGGGTCACTGACTCAGAATGGTGTGTGGAAGGTTTTGTGTGCGCATGGGCTCTTGGAAGTGTTCCGTACGACCGATGAAACCAGAGGGAATTACCAAAAACAGAGACTACATTTTGACAAAAAAAGTCGGTGATAACTGAAAATCACAAAATCAGAGAGTAATGAAAACAGAGGGTCCACTGTACTGATAAAAAAAAACTGAGGCAGAACAGTTGGCCTAGGTTGCCTTTTTTTTTTTTTTTTGTTTACAGCACCAGTCATCTCCCACTGAGGCAAGATGACCAAAAAAGAGGAAACACTTTCATCATCATTCACTCAATCAGCTTTGCCGGAAGTGCGCCGACATCACAGTTCAAACGATCCTCCGAACTGCAACATCCTTTTATGTAGCCCCACGTAAAAAGAAATTTAACCAATTTGTAAACTGTAATTTTTTTATTACTGTAAACAAATCCACTCCAAGCATATTTGATGAGGAGGTCAAAGGAGCAACTTACCACTTCGCAATGCTTTCCAGCATAACCGGGCACACAAGCACATTCATAATCCCCATATAGATCATAACAAGTTGCTCCATTGAGGCAGGGATCCCGGATTAAACATTCATCAATGTTTATTTCGCAAATTGCACCTTCATATCTGAAAAATAGAATATCCTTAATCAACAAGTACTTTTTATGACATTATTTTGCTACAGGCAGAAGTAAACATCAGAAGTGCTATGTAGTAAAAAGATATGAAATTACTGCAACTAAATTTTTAGTAAATATCTAAAAAAATAACGTCACTTAGCACAAATGTAACAAACATCAATTTAACTTTCATTTAATATACTGTACAGTATATTAAATCATAATAGAGCTAAGAGTGCATTATTTCTAAACAGAACCAAAATAAGAATCATACCCAGTGTCTTCACAATTGCATGTGAAATCATTGATGCCATCGATGCAGATACCGCCATGCCAACAAGGCTGTGAAGCACAATTGTCAATGTTTACCTCACAGTGATCTCCACGAAACCCAGGTAAACAGAGGCACTCGTAAGTGTCTGCAAATGAGGTTACTGTACATGTGGCATTGTTCTGTAAACAAGAGACAAGAAGTACATTAGTAGTGTTTATGTGTTTATAATGGCAAAATATCAAAATATTAAACTTATGTTTATGCTTGAGGCACTGTGGACAGCATGGTGCAAAGTTTGTACTACTATTGCCAAAAATTGTACGCTCACATGTGCCCATCTCTCCTGTTCAAGTCTCTAACCTTCATTGAACTTTTTTTTTAATGTCCTCTACACCCCTTTCCATCCACTTATACAAATTGTATATATGATAATTAAAAAATCACAAGACATGGATTTATGTTGATGTACAATATTTTCATACCTGACATGGATGACTGTCATTATCACAGAAACTCTCATCAATGGGTACTTGACATGATGCTCCTGTAAAACCAGACTGACAGGCACAGGTTGTCGCATTCCCCTGCCGGTCTTCCTGGCACAGCCCATTATTATGGCACTGGAATTCATGCCGACGACAAAGGGGTCCTGAGGAAGGTAAAAAAAAAAAAAAAATTAATTTACCACATCGGTCATCCCACCAAGATCAAATTAAATGAAAAAAATACTAATAGGGGATAGTCATCTTGGTTAGCAACAGTAAATGAAAGAACCAAGGTACTCATTATTGTAATTGGGAATAACATTTTTTTTATGCATTATTCAAGGAATACAGTATACGGTATAGTTGGTGCATGTTTTTGCCCATTAGGCTAACAAACAGATGGGACAGCTCTGACACTAGAGACTCATTATCAGTTATAAATTACTTTGAAAGCAGTAAAATGCAATGACAACATGTAGTGCATTAAAAAAAAATAATGGCCATGTAGCTTACCAGAGTCTTCTTCACAATGTTCTCCTGAGTATCGTGTGTAGCAGTTACAAACATATCCATCTTGAGTTGATATACACTGACCATGACGACCACATGGTTGTGAAAAACAGTGATCTTCATCATAGCCGCCTGAAACACGTTTTAACAATGCATCCAAAACTTGGACAAACCGATTTAGTAAAAACTCGTTACTAAAAAAATACTGCATGAAAACTAGAGCAAATACACATATATTTGTAAAAGTACTCTGAACAATATAATACACATTTAAAAAATAAAGTATTTCTTAGACAAAGCATAAAATTAATGTTAAATTACAAACTAAGAATAATGTATGGCAAATATATACACTAATCAAATACAACATAACACTAATACAAGCTATAATTTAACCTAAGAATAGAAATTAAATATTACTGAGAAAAATCTCTATAGGACAAGCCAGACAAGCCTGGCCAGGGCTGGACTCCAAGAGTAGGAAAACTCTCCAAAGCCATCAAAGGTAAATAGCACTGTATATCAAAGATATAAGGAATGGAATAATTAAAAGATACATTTATGCATATATCCATTTTGCCCAGTTACATGTATATCTTCTATGGATCTTTTTAATGCATGAAATTACAAGCAACGTGCACAACCGGCAGGCCGGACTTGAGTCCTAGGAGATGGGAAGTACATACAGTATCTGCACTCTGAAGGAGGGGTGTTAATGTTGCAGTTTTATAACTGTAGTGTAGGCATGCCTCTGGCAAGACAGTGATGGAGTGAATGATGAAAGTTTTTTTAATTCGGACCACCCTGCCATGGTGGGAAATGGCTGATGTGTTAGAAAAAAAAAGCACAACCAAAGCCCATCAACATTTCTTATTACTACTGTACAAACAGTTTTCACCTTTGGCTAGTTACAATATAACAGATTCAATTTGTATCACAAAATTATTTATTGCACTATAATGCCCTTAATGCTATCGTTAGCAACTGTAGATGCATTTTTTGAAATACAGTACAGTACTAGTACACTACCTAAAAATATCTGTTAATAGAAGAATTTCTAATACAGTATATGAATTCAATAAGTCACATGTTCTGAAAACCATTTATGTATTTAGTACATATTTGAATACTGTACAGTATCATGAATTTGGAATTTTTATGTTCATTTTTATTTTTTTAACAAACTGGCTGTATCCCACCAAGGCAGGGTGACCTAAAAAGACAAACAAAAGTTTTTCTTTTAAATTTAGTAATTTATACAGAAGAAGGGGTTACTAGCCCCTTATTCCTGGCATTTTAGTCATGCATGGCTTATGGAGGAAGAATTCTTTTCTACTTTCACATGGGGTTTTAGGTTTATATCATCCCCAACAGGCACATAAAATTCCATAGATTGCTGTTGTTTAAAAGTTCAAATTAGACTGCAGCACTGTTTCAATATTCCAACTTCGTTTCAATATTGTTTTAATATTGAAAAAAGTAGATGAACAATGGTGTAAGATGACAGGCAGTGAGAAACAGACTGTGTTTGCAGTGAGACCTTTATTAAGTTTCTTCATGTCCAGGATGAAACATCACAATAAAGGTTTCATTTTAAACAGTGCCTTTCTCACTCCCTCAAAAACAGTGAAAACAGATTACAGCATTGCTTCAATGCTGAAATTGATTTGCAGTACTTTTTTCACTGTTGAAATTAGATAGCATTATTTTTTCCACTATTGAAATTAGATAGCATTATTATTTCAACAATGAAATTATAGTGTGATGTTTTAATATTAGGGCCAAACATACAATTTGATTTCAAAATTGAAACAATGTTGCAATCAGATATCAACACTGAAACAACCTCAAAGTAAATGAGCTTGCCTGCTGGAATGAGAGTCTAAAGTACCATACTCATGAAGCTCACATCTCCAGAATGGCTTCAGTTCAGTGCTGTCTGATACTATTTTAGGAAAATTATGCCGCATTATGCATCCATAATTCAAATACAAATTTATACAGTACATGAAAATGTCCCAATTATTTACGTGTGCCAGTAAACTTTTTAAACTCTTTGTCTACACTGTATTTATCATTAAATTCATTAGACTTAATTGTTATTTTTATTGAAAACCAAAAGCCTAAGATGTTCCTATTCCAAGTGGGTTCCTCAACTAGCTGGCAACAAAATTTCTAAGCAGTTCATATAAATATTTTGCCCATAAATGAAAGAAATTATCTTCCATCAGTCTGAAGTGTACTAGCAAATCAAAATTGGCCTACCATGAGCTATCTGCTCATTTCTAACACTTTATTGTATCCTCATTGACATCACTTTTAAGTGAATGAGCAGGCGACCTGCTGAGGGGAAAAGAAAATATCAGAGAAAAAAGATAGCAAGTGGTGTTCTGGAAAGACATTTTGAAGAATTAATTTTTGTGAAGATGAAAGTATTAATGGCATGAAAACAATTTTGAAGAAAACAGTTGAGATGAGCTCTAAAGGAAGTGATAAGAGGGTAAGTGTGTGTACAAATGCTGCAAATTCTAATGAAGGGCAGAGGATTGAAACATTAGTATGTAAGAGTACAGTAACAGAATGAGTGGAAGCGGTTCAGGTGGATTTTTCAATCCATCTGGAGATAAGGGAAATATACTTGATAAAGAATGGATTGACAAAAAAATTAAAAAAATAAAGGCTGTAGTCTAGACACATGGATGATTACAGGTTGAGGAAAAAATGTAAAATGAAATTAGAAAAAAGGGCATTACAAAAGGATAAGTAAGTGTTGTGTGGGTCTACCTGTAGTGATGGTTAACAGGACTGTACAGAACAATGAATGAAAGAGACATCATATTTGTTACCATGCTAGTTAGTGAGGAATGGTACATTGGCCATAAAAAAATGGAATGGAAGATTTGTAAAATTAAAATTATGCATACTGCTTATTCTATAATAATTCATATTGTTACTGATGGTAAAACTAGGGGTCACTGTGGATACAATGGCAACCCTGTTTCTTTTCCAAATTTTTGGTGTGTTGAGTGCAACTCTTACTAGAACTGTACTAATAACAGCAGATTAATTTTTAAGCCTTATATATCTATAAAGCTTTATGTGTACATGCATGTCACATAAGCATTGAAAAAATTGTGTAGTAGATGCATAATCTTTCCTCTACATTGAATTTGCTAAAAATCCCTCATACCATCATGCACTGTAGGTCCAACAGCAACACTTACAACAATTACACTCATACGTATCTGGAATACACAATTAATTCTACATCAAATTAAGGTTAAGTTTTCTAATACATAGTTAATGGTTTAGTATCACATCTCTAAAGAAATAGTTTATCACTAGTAGGGTTCATGCCTACCTCCACCTGGTTGTGTGAGGAGGAACGGAGAAGAGAAGTGCAGGCAGTCACAACCATGTCAAACGAAGTAACCATCATCACAGCCACCAGAGAACAGTCCATCACCAAGCAAGTGCAAGTAAAGCCAAGACTGATTCCCAACAGTCACTAAACACATTAATGTGCATATAAGCATAATCACATAGAAAACAAATACTTGACAGAAATTAAGAAAACTATAGCTTTATGCACTACAAGAGAAATTAAGAATATAAATAATGTTAGCCTTATGCACTACAAGAGAAATCAAGAATATAAATCTCTTTACTGAACTAGGATAAAAAAAAATCCAGAGTCCTTTATAAAATGACATGATAGTTAATGCCAAAGAAAGGAAAAATGAAGACATCAACAGTAAGAGGAACACCTGTCTCGTGTACTCACTACAGTCGGTACCATCTGGAAGAGGACAAACATTCCATTCTACACCCATGTGTAAGGCTAGAGGATTTATTAGTTCAGTGCCAGCTCCCTGAAGGATACACCCTGTGAAGTTTTGTCCAATTGTCAGCTGTGGTGTGGATGACCAGAGACCCAAGTCAATGAGAGGAGCACTGGAGCTGGTTGTGTTGGCTACCATCACAGTTGACTGGTCCACTCCCATTCGCAGAACACCAAGTTCAAACCTAGACAAAGAGAAATAAATTAAATTTTCAACACTCTGTACTTCTAAATATATAACTGATAACATACAGTGCTAGGACTAATTATTTTAACACACATACTAGTCTTCCACTTAGGTAGGATGACCCTAAAGAGAGGAAATACATTCATAGTCACTCAGTGATTGAATGAGTGACAGTGGGATGTGTATCCTCTTTTTGGGTCGCCCTACCTTGGTGGGTGACAACCGGTGTGCAAAAAAAAAAAGATATGATATATTATTTCAAACTGCAGTCTTATTACTAAGCTACAGCACCTGGGAAACTGGGAGGCAATCAAGCATGATCAAGGAAGGGGAGAACAGATCCAATTTCTTGGATCAAGATTCCTTCACTGGGATTGAGGAACCTCCCATGAGGAAGCTAGAAGATAGCTAGGTTAGGTTAGAAATAATGCTGAATGAGGTTGTTACCCTGGATCACCCTGCCTTGGTAGGAAACAGCTGATGTCTAAAAAAATTATTTCTGAACTCGTTGAACAGATGTTACCAGTATTATCTCTCTTATACTCTAGTTCTTGTAAACAACTTATATAAGACCTTAATGCAATTACAACTGAGAGTCTTGTGCCATTTTTATATTATTAGATTAAACCTAGTTGTACTATAGCTCATTCTAGCTCAATACATAGACAATACCAAATTCATTTTATTAGACCATGGTGCAATTACAAGTGAGAGTCTGGTGCTATTTTTAATTTGTATTTTTATATTATTAAATTAAACCTAATTGTACTATAGCTCATTCTAGCTCAATACATAGACAATACCAAATTCATTATATTAGACCCTAGTGCAATTACAAATGAGAGCCTGGTGCTATTTTTAATTTGTATTTTTATATTATTAGTTTATACCTAGTTGTACTTTAGCTCATTCCAGCACAACACATAGACAACATCAACTTCATTATGTGTATTAGTGACTATACTCTATATGACCAAAATGCAGATATCAGTACTACAGATATCAGTACTAGAACTCAACACACAACCCAGGTTATAAATAACCACAATTTAAACCTAGAAGATGACTGATCATGTGGACCCTGATCTAAAGCTCCATAATCAAATACCCAATCAAAACCTATTGGAAAGTAACTGTCTTTATTACACAGCATCACAAGCCAGCACTATCCTAAACAATGCTAAAAGTCTATCAGTTCTTAACTACAACATCAGGTCCTTAAGCAAACACTATGATGACCTCCTAGCACTCCTTGAGTCGCTAAAAACACCCTTCTCCTGCATTATTCTTACTGAGACCTGGCTAAACCAGGACACAATAGATATCTACCCTCTACCAGGATACACAGCAATCCACAACTGCAGACCATACCAAGTTGGGGATGGTATTGCAATCTATTACTCTAACCAATTATCTTGTATTGGTACCACTTGCTTTAGTGATGAATATGGGGAATACATTTTTGCTAATTTTACTGTAAAAAACCCTTAAGACGTTATAACAATCGTTGCCATTTCCCGGATCCCCCACACAAACTCCAATTTCAGTAAGAAACTAAGGCACTAATTAAAAAACAGACAAATGAAAAAGCACCACCTTCTCTTAGTGGAGACTTCAATATCAACCTTGGCCTACTAGATGATCAGCTGTAACTGATTTCATCAACCAATATGAGCAACACACTTCTCATACCAAAAATAACTAAACCAACCAGGTCCTGAGACATGTGCAACCATAATAGACCACATTGGACCAATATACTAGCCCCCTTAAATCAGGGATAATCACAGACAGCACTACTGACCACTACCCACCTTCCTCTTGACAAACATTAGTAAACCACCACTGGAATACAACAAAGTTTCATTTAGATTTCCAGACGAGGGCCTAAATTAAGGAATTTCACAGATGACTAGAGATTGTTGACTGGCCTACAGAATTCTCAAGGCCATGGTATTGATGACTGGACAGAATTTTTCTAAAAATTACTTAGACTATACAACATTGTCCTATAAAAACTAAACAGATCACGAATAAACGGCTTGGCTGCCCATGGCTAGCCAGCACCATTCTGAAATCCATTGATAAAAAAACCCCAATATGAAAAGCAATATAGACAGGGCTTAAAAACCCCAAAGATATTTTTTAACCACTATTCTCAGTTTCACAAAGTATAAGAAAGCCAAACAACTATACTACTCCAGCAGATTCACTGACACAGAGGAGATTAAAAAGGACCTGGACAACACTCTCCCAGATTCTAGGGCCACAAACTGAAAAAAAACAAGAATATTGTCTTAACTAAACCTAATGAAACACCACTGCATTCCACTGACACAGCTAACAAGATAAACGACTTCTTCTCAACCATAGGATCTAATCTCGCCAATAAAATCCCCCGTACCAATGCCCATGCGGGGACTACCTAGTGGGAATTTTCCCAAATTCCTTCTATCTTGTACCAACTGAGCCAGGAAGTCACCGAGATTATAAAGTCACTTAAATAACTCAGGGAATCTGTCTCATGTCCCACCATTATTGTACAAGTGAGCGGCCCATGTCCTTTCGCAAGCTATTTCATTACTTTTTAACAAGTCACTAGAAACTAGCACCTTCCCGAAACTACTCAAGACAGCAAGAGTTACACCAATACATAAAGGTGGTGACCCTACAGATTTAAACAACTATAGGCCAATATCAAACTTACCATTGCTATCCAAAATCTTTGAGAAACTCGTGCACAGGAGACTATATATTCATTTATAACGGCACAAAACGTACTCAGCCCCTGCCAATTTGGATTCAGGAAAAATAAAAGCACTAATGATGCAAGTATCAAAATGCTAGATCTGCTTTACACAGCATTGGAAAATAAGGAATATCCGCTAGGAATTTTTATTGACCTAAGAAAAGCTTTTGACACAGTTGACCACGGCATCCTACTCCACAAACTTGACCATTATGGTATAAGAGGCCATGCGCTTGCATATTTCAAATCCTACCTTACTAATAGGTATCAGTATGTAACCATTAAAGACACAGCATCATCAACACGGCCGCTTGATACTGGAGTTCCGCAGGGAAGTGTCCTTGGTCCCCTGCTCTTCCTCATATACATCGATGATCTTCCAAACGTATCCCAACACCTGAACCCCATTCTCTTTGCTGACAACATGACTTATGTCATCTCTCACCCTAATCTTGCCACCCTCAACACCATTGTTAACGAGGAGCTGCTCAAAATATCGACTTGGATGACAGCCAATAAACTTACACTTAACACTGACAAAACCTACTATATTATGTTTGGTAGTAGAGTAGGAGTTGCGCAAATTAACATTAAGATCGACAACACTCTAATTGCCAGACATAATGAGGGCAAATTCCTAGGCCTATACCTCGACAACAACCTGAATTTCAGCACCCATATAAAACACATAACCAAAAAAGTATCCAAAATGGTTGGGATCCTCTCCAAGATACGATACTACATGCCGCAAGATGCCCTTCTCACACTATACCACTCACTTATTTATCCATACCTCACCTATGCTATTTGTGCTTGGGGATCAACTGCAGCAACTCACCTAAAGCCAATAATAACCTAACAAAAAGCCGCAGTAAGAATAATCACTAAATCCCATCCCTGGCAACACCCCCCCCCCCACTCTTCATAGATCTAAACTTACTCCCTGTTCAGTACATCCACACTTACTACTGTGCAATCTACATCTACAGGACCTTAAATTCCAATATTAACCTTGACCTAAAAGCTTTCTTGATAGTTGTGACAGAACCCACAGGCATAACACCAGACACAAACATCTCTATGACATTTCCCATGTCCGACTAAACCTTTACAAAAATTCAATGTATGTCAAAGGCCCTAAAATCTGGAACACCCTCCCTGAATGCTCTAGAACTGCAGACACATTCATCACTTTCAAAACTGCCATTAGAAAACATCTTATCTCCCTGATACACCCCATCAACTAATTACATGAATACCACCTGGTGGTTCACACTTATACTCACTCACCCACTTGACCATCAACAAAGAAATATCAATCTTAATCTTAAAATAATGAATCCTAACTAGTCATAAGTTGGCCTGTGATACTCCAATACTGAAACTATGTATTGTGCGAAAACAAAAGAATTCACATAGCTAAACTCACAAGCTAGTATTTAGTCACTTAGCCATAATATCAACTTACCTCATAATTTGTAATATTTTAAAGTTAAGAATTAATCTAAGTCTGCCCGAAATGCCTAGCCATGCTAGGTGTTCTAGTGGCCCCCTCTGTAATTAGTATTTTAAAACATGTAAACCACACAATATCCAAATTCTGTAAACTCAGCATTGTAATCCTTATAGAGAATAAACTTGATTTGATTTGATTTGATTGCATGCATGGTTATGACTGAGTTATAGAAAATTCCAACTCAGATACTGGACCAAGAAATAAAACAGCCATTCTTCAAATTTAAATTAAAACATTTTCCTCTTAATTAAAATATTCCATATAATAGATCTGAGTAAGAAAGATATGTGCAGTACACAATATACTTTTTTTAATACACTCGCTGTCTCCCACCAGGGTAGTCACCCTTAAAAGCACAGTACAGTGAAACCCTGGGTTTCGGCTGCCCTGGGAATCAGCTGCTTCAGGTTTCGCCTGCTTTTTTCAGCCAAATTTTGTCCCGCGTTTCAGCCATTGCCCTGGGTTTCGGCCGGCGTACCAGACCTGTCCGCCTGCCCGCACTTCCACCCCTCCCCACGCAGGCGGCGTCATTCCAGTCTAGCGTTGTTAATCCTTGAGAGAACATTACCATGCACTCTCATCCTGCCAGCCAAGCAACCAGCCAGTCATCCAGTCAGCCAGCCAGGCATCCAGCCAGACAGGCAACTAGCCACCCAGACATCCAGCCAGCTAAGCATCCAGCCAACCACCCAGGCATCCAGCCAGCCAGCTAGCCAGGCATCCAGCCAGCCAGGCAACCAGCCAGCCAGCCAGCCAGGCATCCAGCCAGCCAGGCATCCACCCAGTCAGGCATCAAGCCAGCCAGGCATCCAGCCAGTCAGGCGTCCAGCCAGCCAGGCAATCAGCCAGCCAGCCAGGCATTCAGCCAGCCAGCCAGGCATCCAGCCAGCCAGCCAGGCATCCAGCCAGCCAGCCAGGCATCCAGCCAGCCAGGCAACCAGCCAGTCAGGCATCCAGCCAGCCACCCATTAATTGTGACTGTGAGAAGTGTGCAAAGCAGAATGAATTCCAAACTTTTGTTGAAAAGTACCACCCTGACCAAGCTGAAACAAGCCATATCTGCAACATGTTCAGTGACAAAACCTTGTCCCACTTCAGGGAAATCTTAGAGACACCAGAAACAGAACACTCTTGACAGATATTTTATGCGACAGGGGTCCAGTGACTCTCAAGCTGGTCTTAGTGGCCTTAAAAGACAAAGAAGGGGAGAAACCCCAGATAAGGACTTGTTACCAAAAGTCTTTATGGAAGGGGATTCCCCTTCCAAACAATAAGTCCTCCCTCTCTCCTCCCCCTGTCTTCCAGATGCCAGCAAGTCTCTTCAATAAAGGTAAGTAAATGTTATTTTAACCCTTAAATGGTCCAAACGTATATATACGTTTTTTCAACATTTGAAAGTATGAATAATAAAATGGTATAAAATACCGACAGGTTGTTAGGTAAGACACATATGCAACAGTTAGGTATCTTTATTTCGAAACGTTTCGCCTACACAGTAGGCTTCTTCAGTCGAGTACAGAAAAGTTGATAGAAGCAGAAGATACTTGAAGACGATGTAATCAGTCCATCACCCTTAAAGTTTTGAGGTGGTCAGTCCCTCAGTCTGGAGAAGAGCATTGTTCCATGGAATGAAACAATATGGCTGAAGACGATGTAATCAGTCCATCACCCTTAAAGTTTTGAGGTGGTCAGTCCCTCAGTCTGGAGAAGAGCATTGTTCCATGGAACAATGCTCTTCTCCAGACTGAGGGACTGACCACCTCAAAACTTTAAGGGTGATGGACTGATTACATCGTCTTCAAGTATCTTCTGCTTCTATCAACTTTTCTGTACTCGACTGAAGAAGCCTACTGTGTAGGCGAAACGTTTCGAAATAAAGATACCTAACTGTTGCATATGTGTCTTACCTAACAATTTGAAAGTATGTAAAAAAATGTAGATCATCTTTTTTCTTTTTTTTTTGAAAATGTGTAAAAAACTTTTATCTACATTTGCTTTTTTGTTATGTTCGAAAATATGTAAAAAAAACATAGATCTACGTTTGGAGCACTACGGATTTGAACGTCGATCTGTTTGGACCGTTTAAGGGTTAAATGTTTATTTAAATTGTAATTTATGCATTGTATAATATACATATATGTATTTATCTGTGTTGTGTGTATGTAAACTATAGTTATTCTTTAAAAAATGTATTTTTTGTGAATATTTTTGTGGGTCTGGAACAAATTATTTTTTTTTTTTTTTCAACAAGTCGGCCATCTCCCACCAAGGCAGGGTGACCCAAAAAAGAAAGAAAATCCCCAAAAAGAAAATACTTTCATCATTCAACACTTTCACCACACTCACACATTATCACTGCTTTTGCAGAGGTGCTCAGAATACAACAGTTTAGAAGCATATACGTATAAAGATACACAACATATCCCTCCAAACTGCCAATATCCCAAACCCCTCCTTTAAAGTGCAGGCATTGTACTTCCCATGTCCAGGACTCAAGTCCGACTATATGAAAATAACCGGTTTCCCTGAATCCCTTCACTAAATATTACCCTGCTCACTCTCCAACAGATCGTCAGGTCCCAAGTATCATTCGTCTCCATTCACTCCTATCTAACACGCTCATGCACGCTTGCTGGAAGTCCAAGCCCCTCGCCCACAAAACCTCCTTTACCCCCTCTTTCCAACCCTTTCGAGGACGACCCCTACCCCTCTTTCCTTCCCCTATAGATTTATATGCTTTCCATGTCATTCTACTTTGATCCATTCTCTCTAAATGGCCAAACCACCTCAACAACCCCTCTTCTGCCCTCTGACTAATGCTTTTATTAACTCCACACCTTCTCCTAATTTCCACACTCCGAATTTTCTGCATAATATTTACACCACACATTGCCCTTAAACAGGACATCTCCACTGCCTCCAACCGTCTCCTCGCTGCTGCATTTACCACCCAAGCTTCACATCCATATAAGAGTGTTGGTACTACTATACTTTCATACATTCCCTTCTTTGCCTCCATAGATAACGTTTTTTTGACTCCACATATACCTCAACGCAACACTCACCTTTTTTCCCTCATCAATTCTATGATTAACCTCATCCTTCATAAATCCATCCTCCGACACGTCAACTCCCAAGTATCTGAAAACATTCACTTCTTCCATACTCCTCCTCCCCAATTTGATATCCAATTTTTCTTTATCTAAATCATTTGATACCCTCATCACCTTACTCTTTTCTATGTTCACTTTCAACTTTCTACCTTTACACACATTCTCAAACTCATCCACTAACCTTTGCAATTTTTCTTTAGAATCTCCCATAAGCACAGTATCATCAGCAAAAAGTAACTGTGTCAATTCCCATTTTGAATTTGATTCCCCATAATTTAATCCCACCCCTCTCCCGAACACCCTAGCATTTACTTCTTTTACAACCCCATCTATAAATATATTAAACAACCATGGTGACATTACACATCCCTGTCTAAGACCTACTTTTACCAGGAAGTATTCTCCCTCTCTTCTACACACCCTAACCTTTCTTATGGGAAGTATTGCTTCGCCTTTCGGCCGTTTCGCGTTTAGGCCTAGCTCCTGGAATGGATTACGGGTGTAACCCAGGGTTTCAGTGTATTAGAAATAGTAAATAAACTTAATGATTTTATTGCATCAATAAACACAATGGAGAAGACTGCCATGTATAATTACCTGAGGTAAACTCTATGCCAAACATTATTATTGAGTCGTCTCCCCAGTGTTGTGATGTACGACTGTCCATGGCGAGTGAGTGAGAGTGCCAGAGCACCTTCTTCAGTTACACTAAGTACTAAGGTGTCACCTCCTGAGCCCTCCTGAAAGAAAAATAGGGTGACATTGATGACTAATACTGATGACCAATAGTGTAAATAAGGCACATAATATGGGTTATGGTACTGTACTGTGAAGCCATTTCATCCACCAGGTACTATCAACTCACATTATCAATTGATAAGGCCCCAGTGAATGAAATATCTTTGAAATATATAAAATGCCATAACTTGCACTGTATCTTATTTACATATTGTTAGTATACGCTACCATTGTATTGCCATGACCGATAGTGTTTATTGATGATACTGTATTTTACAATAATCAATAATGATACTGAAAATTACTGTACATAACTGCATATGATAAAATTACTGTACATAACTGTATATGATAAAATTACTAATGCATGCTCATTAGCACAGAATTATCAAAAAATATCTTTAGCACATACACTAACCTGAGACAACAGTGTGCCATGCCGACACGTTCGAAAACTGAGGGATGTGTATCCCCTAAGATTTAATGTAATAGGTAAGACAACACGTGAAGCACCAGAAAAGTGTCCCTCTCGCGCACCTCCTCCCAGCCTCAAGCCACTTGCATCTTCGGCTTCTCTTAAAAAATCTACCCCATCGGTAGTTACATTATTGCCAAACACTCCCCAACTCTGCAGAATACAAGTTTATAATTAAAAACATTTCATTTGTTATATTACTTAAAACTCTTCACTATACTGTCAACTGAAACCTGGATCATTCAGAAATATATATATATATATACTTTTTTTTCTTTTTAACAAGTCGGCCGTCTCCCACCGAGGCAGGGTGACCCAAAAAAGAAAGAAAATCCCCAAAAAGAAAATACTTTCATCATCATTCAACACTTTCACCACACTCATACATTATCACTGTTTTTGCAGAGGTGCTCAGAATACAACAGTTTAGAAGCATACACATATAAAGATACACAACATATCCCTCCAAACCGCTAGTATCCTGAATCCCTCCTTTAGAGTGCAGGCATTGTACTTCTTCCCATTTCCAGGACTCAAGTCCGGCTATATAGAAATAACCGGTTTCCCTGAATCCCTTCACTAAATATTACCCTGCTCACACTCCAACAGATCGTCAGGTCCCCAATACCATTCATCTCCATTCACTCCTATTGAACACGCTCACGCATGCCTGCTGGAAGTCCAAGCCCCTCGCCCACAAAACCTCCCTTACCCCTTCCTTCCAACCTTTTCGAGGACGACCCCTACCCTGGATGGCTTAATACATTTTTATGACATAACATTAAAATTTGTACTTTAAATTCAGTACTGTATAGTGAAATAATATGTGATGTAATAAAATTAGTTACAGAATATGGTATACAGTACTAGCACCCTGTAGGACTATACAACCTGACTAGACTGTATTTATCAATCTCCAAACTCCCAATTTGGCTAGACAGTTTCCTTGAATCTCCTCGCAGACATTATCTTGTTCTTACTGCAACAGCAGATTAAATCCCATGGACTACTTACTTCTATTCCAGTCTAACACTTTCGCATATACCTACTGAACATTCAAGCCCCAACCTTACAACACTCATTTCACACTGTCATTCCATCCATCTATCCTAGAGTTAATTACCCATTTTATCAACTAATGTGGCTCCATGCTCTGGTGGCCTGGTGGTTAATGCTCTCGCTTCACACGGTGAGGGCCTGGGTTCGATTCCCAGCCAGAGTAGAAACATTGGACGTGTTTCTTTCCACCTGTTGTCTATGTTCGCCATCAGTAAAATGGGTACCTGGGTGTTAGTCGACTGGTGTGGGTCGCATCCTGGGACACTGACCTAAGGAGGCCTGGTCACAGACCGGGCCGCGGGGGCGTTGACCCCCGGAACTCTCTCCAGATAAAACTCCAGATAAATCATCTCAAAATTCTTCTTCCACTCCTTTAAGCTATAATACATACAGTACTTTTCATACAACTACACTCTTCTGAAGAATAAAGAAAAAGGCACAATACCGTGACTGGAACAATACACAAATACGTAACTTGCACTTACAAGTTACCCTTCCCTTGTTCAGATCAAACCTCGTTACCGCTCAGTTATACGAAGTCTTATGACCCTTACAGATTTAGTGTTTACCTTAAATATATGAATAACAGTAGTAATAAAACAGGATAGTTAAGCAAAGTGGCAAAAATTTTTGTTAAATCAAAAGCTTTACTTATTAACATCAAAATATGATCTTCAAAATTATCAAATTTTTGTTCATTCTAGTACCACTCTTGAAGGTGTACATATGCAACATATGCCTAACACCTTGGTTAGTCCAGTGTATGTTTGAGTAGCCTCTCAAAATATATATGTTTAAATAGCTCCAGACAATGCTATATGACCCTGATGGATTTAGCACTTAGCTTTGATTATAATACTAATAAACAGCTCTCCCTCCAAGGGAGGGAGGGAGTATGGAGGAGGTGAACGTATTCAGATACTTGGGAGTGGACGTGTCAGCGGATGGGTCTATGAAAGATGAGGTGAATCATAGAATTGATGAGGGAAAAAGAGTGAGTGGTGCACTTAGGAGTCTGTGGAGACAAAGAACTTTGTCCTTGGAGGCAAAGAGGGGAATGTATGAGAGTATAGTTTTACCAACGCTCTTATATGGGTGTGAAGCGTGGGTGATGAATGTTGCAGCGAGGAGAAGGCTGGAGGCAGTGGAGATGTCATGTCTGAGGGCAATGTGTGGTGTGAATATAATGCAGAGAATTCGTAGTTTGGAAGTTAGGAGGAGGTGCGGGATTACCAAAACTGTTGTCCAGAGGGCTGAGGAAGGGTTGTTGAGGTGGTTCGGACATGTAGAGAGAATGGAGCGAAACAGAATGACTTCAAGAGTGTATCAGTCTGTAGTGGAAGGAAGGCGGGGTAGGGGTCGGCCTAGGAAGGGTTGGAGGGAGGGGGTAAAGGAGGTTTTGTGTGCGAGGGGCTTGGACTTCCAGCAGGCATGCGTGAGCGTGTTTGATAGGAGTGAATGGAGACAAATGGTTTTTAATACTTGACGTGCTGTTGGAGTGTGAGCAAAGTAACATTTATGAAGGGATTCAGGGAAACCGGCAGGCCGGACTCGAGTCCTGGAGATGGGAAGTACAGTGCCTGCACTCTGAAGGAGGGGTGTTAATGTTGCAGTTTAAAAACTGTAGTGTAAAGCACCCTTCTGGCAAGACAGTGATGGAGTGAATGATGGTGAAAGTTTTTCTTTTTCGGGCCACCCTGCCTTGGTGGGAATCGGCCGGTGTGATAATAAAAAAAAAAATAATAAATAATAAACAGCTCCAATAATCTATCCATTTTGTTGTTTGCCCCATACAATACTTGCCAGATACAGTGGACCCTCGGGTAATGGCAGCATCTGCTAACGCCAAAATCGGATAGCAGTGTGTTTTTGTGTCAAAATATTGGCTCGGCTAACGCCCAAGAACTTGGTTAAGGGCATTCGTCCCGAACGTGTCCGCGCGGCCTGAACACCTGAGCCACCTGGCCTTGCCAGTACAGCTAGTGTGCCATTGTTTACAAGCCAGTGCGGACAATTCCAAGCGTACATGTGATACATTTTGTATTATTCCATTGTTTTTAGTGCTTGTAACTGCTAAATAAGCCACCATGGGCTTATTTAGCAGTTACAAGCACTAAAAACAATGGAACCAACCTTGTGGTAAAAAGGGTGAGAAATACTATTGAATTGAAGAAAGAGATAATTGCAAAGTACAAAAGTGGAGCGCGTGTCTCCCAGTTAGCCAGGTTATTTAACAAACCCCACTGAACCATCACTACTATCTTGGCCAACAAAAGGGCAATTAAGGAAGCTGTTGTTGCAAAAGGTGCAAGTATGCTTACAAAACAGAGATCGCAAATACTCAAAGATGTGGAGAGACTGTTGTTGGTGTGGATCAACGAGAAACAATTATCAGGAGATAGTGTTTCTCAGTCAATGAAAAGGCAAGGCAGTTGCATGATGATCTACTTAAGAAAATGCCTGAAACTATTGCTGATGTTAGTGAATTTAAGGCCAGCAAAGGATGGTTTGAGAGATTTAAGAATCGTAGTGGTATACACAGTGTGATAAAGCATGGTGAGGCTGCCAGTTCTGACAAAAAAGCAGCTGAAAAATATGTGCAGGACTTTAAGGGGTACATAGAGGCTGAAAAATTAAAACCCCAACAAGTGTTCAATTGTGACAAAACAGGCCTGTTTTGGAAGAAAATGCCAAACAAACAGGACCTACATTACTCAGGGAGAAAAGGCACAACCAGGACACAAGCCTATGAAAGACAGGCTAACTCTCATGTTTTGTAGTAATGCTAGTGGGGATTGCAAAGTGAATCCTTTACTCATGTATCACTCTGAAACTCGCAGAGTGTTCAAGAAAAACAATGTCGTCAAGACTAAACTGTGTGTGATGTGGAGAGCAAACAGTAAGGCATGGGTCACTAGGGACATTTTCCTCGATTGGTTCTATGACGTGTTTGGCCCCAGTGTGAAAAAATACCTCCTGGAAAATAAATTTTCACTCAAGTGCCTCCTGGTAATGGACAATGCTCATGCTCATCCTCATGACTTGCAAGAGCAAATTGTGGGGGAGTTTAGCTTCATCAAAGTGAAGTTTTTGCCTCCTAATACCACTCCTCTCCTCCAGCCCATGGACCAGCAGGTCATTTCAAACTTCAAAAAACTGTACACCAAAGCAGTTTCAAAAGTGCTTTGAAGTGACCTCAGACACTGAACTGACCCTAAGAGAGTTCTGGAAAGCTCACTTCAGTATCCTCAGTTGCGTAAACCTTATAGCCAAGGCTTGGAAGAGAGCGACTTCCAGGATTTTGAACTCTGCTTGGCAAAAATTGTGGTCAGAATGTGTACAAGAGAGAGGGATTTTGAAGGGTTTGGAGCTAACCCTGAGGAGCCTATGCCAGTTGTGGAATCTATTGTGGCATTGGGGAAATCCATGGGGTTGGAGAATAGTGGGAAGTAAGTAAGTTTATTCAGGTATACACAAATACAGTTACATATATTATCATACATAGCAGCATATGTGTAAAGTACCTAGGATAACCTAAAAAAGTCAGACAGAGTGACTTATTTCCATTGGGGTACTTTTACCTTATTATTATAATATAAAGGTGATAACATCTTATTATTATTCTATAAAGGAGATAACATCTTATTATCATACTATTAAGACTATTTACTACACGAGGGTCATTAAGATTATCTACAATATGAGGATCATTACTAGGAATAAGGTAAAATTACACATGTGTTAGCTAAAAAAATAAAAAATAATTCTTCTCCCTTTCTGTCGCTACATTCATCAGGCACCTTTTGGCTCTCTTCCTGAACTGGTTCATGCTATGACCAGCTTTGACATGTGCGGGCAGTTTGTTCCATTCCTTTATTGCTGTACAATAAAAGGTGTTTGAAGCCTGGCCACTAACTGTGGGTACTACAAAGTTGTGCTCTCTCCCTCTAGTACTATGGTTGCTTTGGTTCCCAACCTTGACAAAATTGGCAGCAAGATATCCTGGACACTGTTTGTGAGCAATTTTATAAACATGATTTAGCTTCAGTTGTTTTACTCTGTCTTCAACATTCAGCATATCCAACTGCTGTAATTCATCCTGACCTACATGCTCTCTTGGGTGCAGGTCCAGGATGAATCTTACCATCTTGTTCTGGGTGATTTGCAGTCTATCTTTCAGTTTTTTTGTCAAGGCAGAGTACCATGAAGAGCAAGTGTAATCCACATGACACTGTATAAGGGCTAGACATAGTGTCCTGCGAGCCTCAGTAGGTAGACACTGTGTTTGTCTATAGAGGAATTTCAATCTGGCATTCATTTTTTTTACTACACTGTTCCCTATCAGTTCTCCTGACATGCATGGGTCAAAGGGGATTCCCAGATATTTTACTGAGGAAACTGAAGTGATGGGCTCCCCATTACACTGGACATTAAAATTATTTACCCTTCTCAGTTTATGTTTCGTCCCAAAGAGAATGGCTTCAGTTTTCCCGAGGTGTAATGATAGTTTGTTGTCTACTAACCATTTGCTGCAGGACTCCAGTTCCAGTGTTAATACATTAACTATATCTTGTGGGTCTTTACCTGACACTAACAGAGCACTGTCATCTGCATACAGTAGGAGGTTTGCACTTGACACTGATAGGCATGTCGTTAACATAGCTTAGGAATAATAAGGGACCCAGAATACTACCTTGGGGAACTCCACATGCTATCAGCAGGGGTTCTGATTCCGTTTTGTTGATTTTGACAATTTGTCTCCTGTTGCTAAGGTAGGACTTAAACCAGTCTACAGAACCTATACCGATAGCTTGAAGTTTCTTACATAATATATTGTGGTTGACAGTATCGAAGGCCTTTTGCAGGTCTAAAGTTACCATACCTATGAGGTTCCCCATTGACATTTCAGTTCTCATGTAATCCATCAGATTAATTAGGGAGGTGTCGGTTGAGTAAGATCTTCTAAAGCTCGATTGATAACTATGGATAATGTTGTTGTCATTAAGGTACTTAACTACTTGACAGTACATTGCCCTCTCTAGAATTTTGGATATTATACTGAGTATACTAAGGCCTATAGTTGCTTACATCAGACCTGCTATTTTTCTTGAAGAGAGGAGTAACTCTGGCCTCCTTGAACCCCTCCGGTATGGTATTGGTGGTGATGGACAAATTTATTATGTGAGCAACAGTGATTGACAATTCAGAAGCACCATCTTTTAGGAACTTAGACGGACTGGTATCAGGGCTGGTGCTCTTAGTTGGGTTTAACCTGTTTAGTTCTTTTTGAATAAAGTCATGAGATACACTTACTAGTTGACAACTGTTTGGGGTTACCCCTTTATTGGTATAGTATGTTTGAAACTTATCTGAGTCTGTGTTAAAGGTATTTGATGTGGCTGGTAGTTTACTTACTAGTGTTGATGCGACAGATGTGTAGTAGGAATGAAAACAATTTGCCACCTTAGATGTTTCGTGGCATACCTCGTTATCGATAGTACGTACTATGTTAGACCTATGTACTGGTTTATGGCTATAATCCAACTGTTTTAGTTGTTGCCAGAGCTTTCTGGGGTTATGCTTATACTCTTCAATTTTTGAGCATTAATGCTTTGCCTTTGCTCCTTTTATAAGTCCCTGTACTCTGTTCCTTACCCTTTGGAATTCATTTAGTGCTGCAATATCCTGTCTGTTTTAAATCTTTTTAGCAACTGATCTCTAAATTTCATATTATCTAATATCTCAGTAGTCATCCAGGGTTCAGTTCTCCATTTAATCCTAACCTCATTAACTGGTGCAATATTATCAAGGATGGTGGTGAACATTGTTTTGAATTTTTTCCAGGCATCATTTACGTCCATGCAACTTGTTATCACTGTCCAGTCACAACTGTATAGCCTATTTACCAGTGTTTCTTTACTGTAGTTTCTAGTTGACCTCATTTTTATTGTCCTGTGTAGGCCTATCCTATCCCTAGTGATTTTCCTGGTGCAGTAAATGATGAAATGATCACTAAGGCCTGTGGTAATGACGCCTGACTGACTAATGTTCTCAGAGCGGTTACAAAGTATGTGGTCAATTAGGGTGGCTGAGAACTATGTGATCCAGGTTGATATATTAATTAGTTGAGTGTAACTAAATATTTAAACCATTAGTGTAACTATTTATACCTTTTGCATAGCCTGTTCTTTTGCTGCTGAAAACAGATATTGAAGTCTCCCAGTATTACTGTCTCGCAATTGTTTTCAAGTCTGGACAAGACTCTGGAAAAAGTCTTCTAAGAACTGGTCATGGGTGGAAGGGCGAGGATGTGGAAGAGTTTGTGGAGGACGACGATGAAGAGCTAACCACTACAGAGCTGCAAGAGCTTCAGGTGCAACAGCAACAGATCACAGCTCAGGAATTTGTTTCAGAGGAGGAGGAAGAGAGATGGAGGAAGTTGCCTTTGTCAAAGAATAAGGACATTTGTACAATGTGGACAAAGGTGCAAGCATTTACGGATGAACATTATCCTGACACAGCTGTTGCAAGCCGTATTGGCAACATGTACAATGACACTCTTGTGTCCCATTTTAGGGAAATCTTAGAGAGATGCCATAAACAGAGCTCTCTGGACAGTTATTTTGTGCAACAGGGGTCCAGTGACTCTCAAGCTGGCCCTAGTGGCATAAAAAACAAAGAAGGGAGGTAACCCCAGAAAAGGACTTGTTACCTGAAGTTTTTATGGAAGGGGATTCCCCTTCCAAACAATAGTACACTCCATCCTCTCCTCTCCTCCTGTCTCATCACTCATCAGTAAGTCCTCAATAAAGGTAAGTGCCATTTCAGTATTGTTTAATGTGCATGTTTCATTGTGTTCTGTGTAGGGAAATGTACATTTCACATAAAAAATTATTTTGTTTAATACTATTGGGTGTCTGGAACAGATTAATTGGATTTCCATTATTTCTTATGGGAAAATTAATTCGGTTAACGGTAAAATCAGTTGAAGGTAAGCTCTCTGAAATGGATTAATGCCGTTACCCGAGAGTCCACTGTATATATAAGACATATTCTACATTCATGCTAACAGAAGTTGATTTAGTTTCAGTAATTGTACTATTAATGGAACTTTACTAATACAGTACATACTTTCTTTTTCTTACTGTTGGCAATCACTTTTTATACAGTACATTATGGAATTATCACAGACAAGCTATAAAAGATGAAAAAAAAAAAAAAAACTTCCCTTGTGCTTGTTTTATATACAGTACTAACTGTATTGCATCAGTTCACAAATAACCTGCTCTTAGGAAAGGAAAGTACAGTAGTTTCTTCTAATAGGTGAAAGTTAGTTGTAACAGCACTGTGACATTATTCTTTTCTATACTGTATCAAAACACAGCAAAATTATGTAATTTGAAGCTCAAAAAATTTGATTTAAGGTTCAAATATTTTTATAAATGGAAATAAGAATTAATTATATGAACAGCATTTAATATATTTAATATTATACAAAGGCCTTCTGGTGTTACTCAAATATGATAAAGGTTTATTACCAAACTTCACCATTTTGTATCTACAAAGAAATCTTTACATATAATACCATATATCATATTAAACTGTAATGCCATAATGCTGATTGACATTTGCTTGTCCTTCCAAACTAAAGTTACTTTTTTTTATTCAGATTGTTGTGTACTGGGGTATTACAGTACTATACATATAATTAATTGCAATCAGAAGTGAAAAATTAAATATATACATATACAGTAGTCCCCACGTATTCACTGGGGATATGTTCCAAGACCTACCATGGATACCTAAAACCATGGATAGTAGTAAACCCTATGTATAAGTCCGCTCCAAATACCTACCATGGATACCTAAAACCGTGGATAGTAGTGAATCCTATGTATAAGTAATTTTTCATTTATGTATATACATATATATGATAAAGTTTAATTGATAAATTATTCAAAATAAGTCTAGAATTAGCACTTTTTCACTGATGGAAAGCATTTCACAGCTTCTCTTATGCTTTGCAGAATTGACAGCATCACTACTTTTGCACTCTGGGGCCATTATTATGCAAAACTAAGGGTTAATTTTAGGCCACAGTAAACAGTGGATAACTGAAACAGCAGATACCGAATCAGTGGATATGGGGATTCTATTGTAGTACTATGTACATATATACAATATATAGTACATACATAGTTAACAATTTCCAAAAGTGTCTTTTTTGATAACTTAACCTAGGATAATCCTTCAATTTCTTGTAGTACACTTTCATACCTCTATAGTGGGGTCCTCAGCCAGTATATTATCTGTGAAACTTGTACTCTGTCGAAATTCGCTTCGTGTGTGACCATCTGTGACAACCAACACTGGAGACCCCAAGGTGTCAGATGGTGGAGTAAAGGTAGGCTCATCATCACTACTCTGGGATGATGCTACCTGGAGCTCTCCTACCGCTAATATCAAGCAAACACCTGAAAACAGAGAATAAAATATTAGTGTCTATATTATAACTAAGACCCGCATCAGGAAATGCTTGTCCTGTTTCCTGACAAACCTTACCTAACGGTACCTAATGTCTATATACAGTATCCTTATGTCTTTTGTCAACTTATGTAGTCTTCAAGCATCAGGATTAGTTTACCTGAAGTGCAATGAATGCATTTCACGGACCCCAACGGAAATTAGTAAGATAAGATAAGATAAGATTTCATTCGGATTTTTAACCCCGGAGGGTTAGCCACCCAGGATAACCCAAGAAAGTCAGTGCGTCATCGAGGACTGTCTAACTTATTTCCATTGGGGTCCTTAATCTTGTCCCCCAGGATGCGACCCACACCAGTCGACTAACACTCAGGTACCTATTTGCTGCTAGGTGAACAGGACAACAGGTGTAAGGAAACGTGTCGAAATGTTTCCACCCGCCGGGAATCGAACCCGGGCCCTCCGTGTGTGAAGTGGGAGCTTTAGCCACCAGGCCACCGGGCCTGACTTTTTTTGGGTTATACAAGGTAATTTACACTATGTATGATAATTGTGCTTATGTGTACCTGAGCCTAAATGAACTTACTTATCAGTGGCTTTCTGTTGTACCTAACAATGTTTTATTACATATAAACTACATTATATTTATACCACATAAAAAAGAAATAAATATTTGAATTCAGCTGACCTTTCTCAAAAATGACACAGGTTAAAGGAGTTGAAATATAAATATAAAAGCCAAGCTAAATGTGTTAATAACTACTGTGTGCTCAAGCCACGTTTGATGTGAGGAAGGGAAGGATGGATCCAATTCCTTGAATCAAAAGCCCTTCACCAAGATTAAAGCATCACCCTGGAAGGCAAAAATGAATGGCCACATTCAACATGCTTAGTTTGCAATAACATGATCAACATGAAACTGCATTCTGTACAACTGTCCCTTACTTTAGGGATAAAAGTATTCTTGGCTAATGACCAGGTGACCCTCATGTTGTCAATAGGTTTTAAGTACCATTAATAAAACAAGAATTAAGGCAAGTTGGTTAAGGGGGTTAACTGCACTACAGTGCTAGTCACGGCATTATGCAGCCCGTCCCCCACACAAGTACCAAAACACAAACACATATGTACCATGAAAGATTATAATAGTACATATATTTGCACACTTACTGAGGTTTCAATACTTGGTGCTGCGTCCTTTACGCTTAATCACGTCCCTCAGCCATGTAGGAAGACTCTCATGCAATTTCTTGAGGGTTTGGGGAGGTATATTATTCCATGCCTCATGTAGAGCAGCCTCCAGCCGCGGGATGGAACTGATATCCTTGCCCAGTAAACTTCGCTTCACTATTGACCAGAGGTTCTCAATAGGGTTTAGGTCTGGGGAATTGCCTGGCCAGTCATTAAAGAACTTCACTTCACAGTCCTTAAGTCACTGAACTACAGATTTGGTAGTATGCACCATCCTGCATATAAACCATAGCCCCACACTTGTGAAATGTCTCAGGTAAACCATCACACAAAAACTCCAGATAATTATACTGGTTCATATACTGGTTTTTGGGAAGCACAATGAGTTCACCAACACTCTGAGCACTGAAATACCCCCAAACCAAGAACGAGTCTGGGTGTTTGGTGGTCCCGCAGGTGTAGCGTAGGTCTAGCGGGTCACTACCTCTGGGCCGGTACATGTCCCCCATGGTTACAGGTGATGGTGAAGGTTGCTTCATCACTCCAAAGTACTTCAGACCTCTGTTGAGGATTCCAGTAAAGATATTTCTTTGCATAATCCAGCCTACATTTCTTCTGTGGCTTGGAGAGGATCAGTTTCTTAACCTGGCAGTGACTACTGTAGCCCAATTCTGACACACGTCTGTTAACAGTTCTTGCAGATGCCTCTGAAAGATGTGGGTTCTTTTCTTTCAATTCTCTAGCAGTTATTTTAGGTGTACTCTCTTGCTGCTTCTCTAACACAGTTAAGGTACGAACAGATGTCTTCTTGGAGGAGCCAGACCGAGGTCTGGCAGACAGTAGCTCAACACCGCCACCAACCTTGAAACGCTGCACCCAGTTCTTCACTGAATGCTCACACACACCAACATTCTCCACTATTTCTTTCATTTGGTGCCCAGCTTTGTGAGGCCCTATGATTTGAGCTATAGTTTCAAGTGTTAAAGACTTCCTTTTACCCATAACCAAACATGTATAGCCCCAAAACCAAAGGGAACACCGGATGAAAGATCGGGCAGATGAGAGACAAAAGTGCAACACTTCCTTTCACCACAGCAGCCATGTGAGCACTCAGGAGTCACTGTGGAGTGTGGCAGCAGGCCGTGACGTCATGCTAACGGCTGCTACCCGGTATAATGCACTGATGAAAAAAGACCCCTCCCTGTATGGTAGGCCTTTGATTTTCGTCACAGCATTATGCTGGGGTGCTCACCCAGCATAATGCCATGACTAGCACCGTAGGGTCATTACGGGTGAATGCTTGGCTAATGGGGTTTAAAGCCTATCACTACACTAGGGTCATGAAGGGCAATTGGTTGGTTAATGGGGTTTAAAGCCTATCACTACACTAGGGCCATTAAGGGTGATTATTTGGTTAATGGGGTTTAAAGCCTATCGACTACACAAGGGTCATTAAGGCTACATATAACCAATTCACCACCAACCAAGAATATTTTAATCCCTAAAATTTGTATTAAAACAAACTCTCAGAATATATACACTGAGACATATACCTCTCAGTATTTATATCCTGTTGGATTAAGAAATACCTAAATAAGAACAAGAAAAATGCTACAAAGGGCACAAAATCTCAGGATTAGTAAGATTAGTAAGGTTTCCATGGGCTAGTTTACCTGGAGTTTACCTGGAGAGAGTTCCGGGGGTCAACGCCCCCGCGGCCCGGTCTGTGACCAGGCCTCCTGGTGGATCAGAGCCTGATCAACCAAGCTGTTGCTGCTGGCTGCATGCAAACCATACTCTGCCTATTTCTGTTACAAATATAAGTGACCTGCCAGTGGGATATTCTAATAGTTTAATCTAAAATTACCCCATTATTACAGGGAAAGCGCTAAACCCACAAGGATTATACAGCTCCTTGAAAAATGGGAGGCAGCCAGCTTCTGTCCAATGAAGGGAAAAGGCAGGTTCAATTCTGTGCATCAAGAGCCCCTCACCAGCATCAAAGAACTTCTCTTGAGGGGAACTTTTATCCTCAGTCAGCGATATCCTGTTAATTAACTTTAAACGTATATGTTAGGCTGTCAGACCTGTACCTTTGTGAATTAATAAGTGAGCACATCACCTGCAGGAGGCTTACAGGGGATTACCTGAATTATTACCTGCAAGTAATTTGGGTGAGGTAAGTGGGACTTAAGTCACAACAGGTCACTGAACTGTAACTCCTTCGATGCCCACTCCCTACCACTCTCACAGAAAGCTAGACCTGACATTAAATTAATAATTATAATATTAAAACCAGCTACTCTGGGAAATTAAAGTTGTGGACACTGTATAGGATTAGGCTTGCTGGGTACACAAAATATAACTCTTACCATTTAATTACTGTAGATGGATCACACCACAACACCTACCTAACTCCTAGACCCTATACTGGTCAGCTAGAGATCTAAATGCAAGGACTAATTGTGCACTTCCCTGAGAGTGATGTTCTGCCATCCACATGCAATTCTCGAGGTCCCGCAAATTTCCTGCCCCAATTCTTCAGCAGGGGACATTAAACACGGGTTCCTAATTACAAATTCAGACCGAATAAATTCAACTGACCTTCAAGAATGCCCGATCACATTGCACAACTCAGTCCAGTGCTCAAACATTAAATTCAATACGATGTCTCCCCCAGTGTCACTCCCAGCTCTTCTACCCCCCTCCCCCCTCACTCGAAATTTCTCGAAGGGTTCAAATAGCATCACATTTTAATACACTATTATATTCAATTATATATTCCACATTTAATAAATTATGTAAAAAATTTCCACAGTATCTAAATAAACTTTTTTACATCATTCATCACAATATTTATAAAACCCAACAAGTGAGCAATATCATAGATGTCTCATGCAAATTTTATTACTAGAAACAAGGTATAAAAATTACATGGCACAACTGACATAAAAAGTGTTCGGTATTCATCTACAAAAAAAAAAAAAAAAGGTAAATCACACCCCAGAAAATGCTTATTGTAACAATGTCTCTGATAACTACCATCCGGTAGTTCCACACAAACTGTGCTAACAGCTTCCTCTATTTACAAACATCAGCTTCATATTGTTCCAGACCATGGAGCTGAACTCTACTTAATGCTGGTAAGGGGCTCTCGATCTAGGGAACTGGATTTGTTTACCTGGAGAGAGTTCCGGGGGTCAACGCCCCCGCGGCCCGGTCTGTGACCAGGCCTCCTGAATGCCTCCCCCCCTCACCTCTTTACGGGTTTAACGCTCCCCCGTGATGTTTCTCCCAGGCTGAGGGACTGATTACATGACTTAAGAAATCGTAATGACACGATTGCAAATAAACCATACCCCCGGCCGGGATTGAACCCGCGGTCATAGAGTCTCAAAACTCGCCACTATTCCCTGCCTGCAACAATACATTTTCTTCTGTATTTGAGTGATAAAGCCTACCGTGTAGGCGAAACGTTTCAACAATAAAGTTACCCAACTGCACATGTGTCTTACTCATCTTACACGGTTTATTTTTCCGGGTACCTGAATACCTAAAGAATGTTTCCGGGTCAACGTCCCAGCGGTCCAGTCCCAGACCAGGCCTCCCGATGGATCAAGACCTGATCATCCAGGCTGTTACTGCTGGCTGCAGGCAATGTAAAATGCTTAACCACAGCCGTCCAGACTGGTCTTGAACCTGTCTGGACGATGAAAATATTATAACGAATAATCTTTTGAAGTGACTTGGGCCTGACCTGACCTGACCTGATTAGGTGGGTCATTGGCTTAAGCCGGTAGGAGACTTGTACCTGCCTTGCATGGGCCAGTATGCCTGCTGCAGTGTTCCTTCTTATGTTTAATATAAAATAAGAATATAAGAAAGAAGGAACACTGCAGCAAGCCTACTGGCCTATACGAGGCAGGTCCAAGTCCCCCACCGGCTTAAGCCAATGCCCTAACCTAGTTAGGTCAGGTAACAGCCTGATTGGTTTAGAAAGACACCAAGGTTTATACCAACAGCCTGATTGAACAGCCTGACTGGTCTGGGACCGGCCACGGGAGGGATGTATTGAGAAAGCCACTGGATGGCGAATTATTATTATTATTATTATTATAATCAAAAGGAAGCGCTAAGCCACAAGGAGCAACTGGATGGCGAAACGTCTACAATAAAGATACCCTGATGTTGCACATGTGTCTTACTCTCATCTTGTCGGTATTATATACCATTCGTACACAACTTGTCAGACACTGCAACATCATGGAATCTTAATTCTGAGGACATGTACATAACCTTCACGACTACGACAACTACTACTACTACTAACCCATCTCTTTGGGAAGGACCTACTTCCACTGGGGAATCCCGCCTACCAGTGAATATGCCCTCGTCTGCTACACCTGACGTTACTATATAAGGGCCAGGATTCTTTCTTCTGCTTCAGAATCTCCACGACTATGGTGCTGTTCGCACCTACTCCTAGGTTGAGGGACTGATTACCTCATCTTCTGTACATAGTTCTACTGTCTTCAAGTTATGTCCTAGAATTTGTATTGAGAAAGCCACTGGATGGCGAAACGTCTACAATAAAGATACCCTGATGTTGCACATGTGTCTTACTCTCATCTTGTCGGTATTATATACCATTCGTACACAATTTGTCTTGTTGACTTTTGTTATTTGTTTAAGAATGGCTTCAAGAAGACTTCTGTATCTTTTATAATTTTGTTTTATACTGTGTTGATTCATTTATATAATAAACTGGGTGGAATGCTGTGTGTTAAAATCTGAACCTTGTGATATAAAATATATTAGACGTTTCGCCCACTAAGGGCTTCTCAATCTAATATAGAGCATGTGAAAATACATAGTATTTATTTGGCTGTTTTTCACATGGTCTGTATTTTCACATGATATATTTTGGACTGAAAGATTCCTCGGTGGGCGAAACGTTTCCTAATAAAATGTCCTCCTATGTGTTACATACGTATCTTTATTTCACAGCTTGTTAGTACTGATATATTGTAATACTTGTACCAAGATGAACCTTCTTAAAGGCCTATACTAGGCAGGTCTTACACTCAACAGTCTCTACAAATGTAAAAAAAAAAAAAAAAAAATACGCCTAAAAGCGAAACATAAGAAAAAGCTGGGTAGAGGCATATATGCAGGAAGAAAACGTCAACAGACGGCAGCCTACAAAATCAATGAGGAATGGAAATTCGAGAGTTTGTTTACAGTGTCAATGTCCCGTTACAAAGACTGAATTTATGTTCTCTCTCCTTCCCTCTCCTGATTTCTCTAAAACAATGAAAGGCGGTATTAACTTGGCGTACAATCGTGCATGAACATTAAAATGGTTTCAGACTATGGAACAATGCTCTTCTCCAGACTGAGGGACTGACCACCTCAAAACTTTAAGGGTGATGGACTGATTACATCGTCTTCAAGTATCTTCTGCTTCTATCAACTTTTCTGTACTCGACTGAAGAAGCCTACTGTGTAGGCTAAACGTTTCGAAATAAAGATACCTAACTGTTGCATATGTGTCTCACCTAACAACCTGTCGGTATTTTATACCATTTTAATGTTCAATTTGTCAGACACTGCAACACAAGGGTATCTTGGTACAGACCTACAATCAACTTCGACAACCTCTACTAGTGAGAACGGCTGGATTTGAGAGGGACCTGACCTCCCAACATCTGAGTTCTTACCTCTTCTAGTGACCTACGTCTCACCTCTTGGCGCTATATAAGGCTCCATCCTGTCACTTCATCTCCATATTGTTTCATACTATGGAACAATGCTCTTCTCCAGACTGAGGGACTGACCACCTCAAAACTTTAAGGGTGATGGACTGATTACATCGTCTTCAAGTATCTTCTGCTTCTATCAACTTTTCTGTACTCGACTGAAGAAGCCTACTGTGTAGGCGAAACGTTTCGAAATAAAGATACCTAACTGTTGCATATGTGTCTTACCACACAATCGTACATATTAAAATATACCTGGTTAAGAGATGTGCAATATTCAGACGGTCTCAGGAATAAATCCAAAATATTTTTCCTGGAGGTGGTTTTATGTACTACGAGGCTATGGGTCCCCATAGTATGTACTGAAGGTGGTATAAATTATTTAACTGTAACGGAAAATCCAGTGGATTATAAAGTCAAAGCTGGTTTTAGTTATAATGTTAATGAAGTGAGTAATGGTGAACTGATAAGAGCATTATGGAGATGAGGTTTGGGAGCTAGAGTACGA